GTGCAAAGTTTCGTTTCTCTATCTTTATGCGCTGCGTCGATATCGTCGTAGAAGTAAAGGGACCAACTATATGCCCCCCCCCCCCCTCTCCCCCGCCAGCGGCCGGCGGGTCAGGGTGGCGCGGAGGCCCAGCGGCCGCCGGGAAAAAAATATAGTCACGTATTCATATAAACTAAAGTGATTAAGCACAAACAAACGTTAAAATGAAGCTCATACTGACATATATCCGTGATTACGAGAAACCGTGCGAAGCGAGTCTTTTCAATGCCTATAATAGGGGAGAGTGGGGCAAAGCGGCCACCCGGGGCAAAGCGGCCACCCATCGTTTTAGCCCTTCATAGCTGGCGTCAGTTCCAATTTATGGTTTCCAATTATACTTCTCTTCACGGTTGTTCGAATGAGCCAGACCGGGGTTTCAGGCCCATCACCATTGTTCTGTGAAACACGGAAAAGCATTTCTTGCCAGGTTACCAACTATGTTTACAATTTTTAAATGTTATGTTATTCCATAACCGTTTGGAATTTTTATAAGCGTTCTTGTCCATGCGTTGCATGGTTATCGTACATGTATTCTACCAATTTTAATGTTTGTTACCCGACTAATAGCTAAGCTGGAATATTTTTGTCTCGGACGGTATGCGCGGGGCAAAGTGGCCGGGGCAAAGTGGCCACCCCCCAATTGGCCATAAGTTGCTTCCATTTGGATAAAAAACATTATTTATATTCAAATGTGTCGTCATGCATTCATCTTGGCCACTTTTCAGTTGCATGAGTTACCAAATAATGCAATTAAATGTTTATTTTCATGAAAATCCTTTCTTTGTTTACCTACAGGTGGAAGATGATAAAGTAAAAATTCATCCTCGCTTAACCTTGTCACCATCAAATACCCTAGTCGTACACGAGGCAACTATTTTGTTTCTCATATCGGGACTTGAGAAGACGCCGGTGGCCGCTTTGCCCCAGGGTATGGGGCAAAGTGGCCAATATGCATAGGTTTAAAGTTTTGTCAATATCTTTCATATGTGAACGCCTTTGGAAATAAAACGCAGTTGAAATAAAAGGCAACTTAATAGGGATCACATTGGTATATAAAGAATCTTTCTAAGTTTAAAAATCAAGCGTTGACATCGTGAGAAGCGTTAGGGTGGCCGCTTTGCCCCACCCTCCCCTACATATAGCGGAAAAATATCAGTACCTATGAGCGGCCCCTCTCGTAATGACGTAAGTAATAAAGCTACGGGAAAAATAAGAAGGGCGCCTGGAGGGTTTCTACTTCTAGTGAGTTTGAATAAGGTGTTCGTGAATTGCTGAGGGGGAGGGGCGAGGGGGATCCGATATCGTCACGGGGGGGGGGGGGGCACCGTGCGCCGGCGTCTCACTGTTGCAACGACAAACAGCTGATCATTGCATCAGCCTGGTGGGTGACGGCGCGAACCCATGGCCATGCTTGGACTTCGCGCAGGGCTGCGACTTGGTTTCCGAAATCACAAACAGTCTCGAATTTTCAGACTGTGTCATTCTCGTAGCCGTTCTGTATTTTGGCATGGGTCAAGTCAGCTGTGCATCTATCAGAGCTCCCAGGAGTGGGGCCTCCGGCGGTGTTCTGCGGGTTTTCCCCAGCTGTCTGACTCGTGACTCACGCTAGCGCCGCGGCCCGCGGGCAGACTGCGCAGCAGCCAGTCCAAGGCCATCTATAGAAGGTACAGTCACTCCCCCGCCGGCCAATCAGAGACAGATCCTGAGTGACGTCAGCCCTGATGCTCGCAAGGGGTACTCCATTCCTTTACAACGTAAAAATGACTAACTTCTTTTGAAGATTGTTGGTGACACTCTACACATATCGCTCAGCCGTTGATGTCATTGGAAAGTCCAACTAATTTTCCAGCGATAAAAAAGAGCAGCAATATGCTAAGAAATGGCCGGTTTTGAAGATATAGACGATTTAAAAATCCTCTGCAGTTGCAGGAAGGCAACGTAAAAACGCATCGAGGTTATATTTTTACTATGAATGAATCATTTTCAGTAAGTTTTTAGATGTGGTATCGATTTACTCAACAACTTTATTAAAATATTTTTATATTTTGTAACTTTATTTCAAAATAATATTTTCGAAAATGGCAACTGTTGGCAAGTAGCTTTGAAGCGATTGTGGCGCACCGCGCCATTATTGTACTGAGGCCCCCTTATGATGTCATCAAAAGTGGAGTGACATGAACCCTGGGCCCAATCTTACCAATGCCGTGAATAGGATTTGGCAGCACTGGCCGGACTTTACGGCACCGATATCAAAGATGTCCTTTTTATTGACCTCCAGGTAATCTTGTCCAATGATTTTGATAGCGTGAATGATTATGAATGTCGCCAGAACGAATGAATAAGTGAGTGTGGAATAGTTCTGAATGTTACCAAATGCCGTGAATGCGCATTCACGGCATTTGGTAAGATTGGGCCCTGTTTACATAGCATTTAGACATTTCCCTAGCTGGCTTAGAGATATCACAAAACTGGCCAGTGACCTTTTGCAACTACACAAGTGACTGTATTCAATGCTACGAAGAGCGCTTTCTCGGAATTCAGGCATAATACATCAATAAATTGCAATAAATAGGTCATTTTCGGCGCGAAAAAACGGTAGGGCAGAGGCGGGAGAATTGGGACGCAGGAGAATAGGGACAGGCCAATATTTAAAAAATGGGCAGCGTTCTTGCACGATTTTTGCCTTTACCTTTTGATTCGATGTGTCCTGCAACGATTGGAAGCCTCAGCAACCCTTTTGTGTCCGTCGGTTGGGCTGTGCTGGCTGAGCACCAAAAAACTTGTTTTTTCTAGTATTGTTCTGAGTTGTCTGGGTATTGCATATGACAAACTATCTTTCTTTCAAGAAATTACGATGCTAGCTAAACACCGCCTTTATGCGATTGCCAGTTTGCATGAACACGCTCTGTAACTGACAAATGACAAAAAATGCGCGATTTGATATGGCGGCGTTGTGGGAGAATTGGGACACCAAATGGTGAAAATGGTGAAAGGGTGCAAGAAGATGTGTATTTACCTTCATGTTTTGGACGGGGTTGCAGCTGCGCCCCCTAACCACAAATACATCAAAGCGAAGACAAAGAAGTCTTAAAATGTGCATTTTATGGGAACATCGTGATCGTGAATGACAATCCCGACCTTTACGAAGCAGATAGTGTGAATATAAGTTCCAACGTATCAATTGATTGCCTAGACATAGACAGATCAATAATTCGAGATAAAAATGTGGTCCCAATACCTCATTTTCATGTGTCCCAATTCAGCCTCGTGTCTGTCCCTTTTCTCCTGCGTGTGTCCCTATTCTCCCCAAAATGAGTGTTTTTGTTTTTCTCCACACATAGCCACACCACTGCATAGGCTCGGTTTTTTATGATGGTATGCTGCAGAGAAATGGCCTAATCTTTTATTGGTGCTGCACAAAGCAGCTTGGCTACAATACTTTTCAAATAATATCTCAGTAAATATGGCTTGAGAAATAAGTCCCAATTCTCCCGCCTCTCCCCTACTATTTTATGCGTACAAAGACTATTTGCAAGCACCATATCTGCTGCCATATCTCCCTGCACCCCTTCGTAAACACTTTGCCATATTAGCTAAATCAAGCTATATAAATCACAATATATGCAGATATTATTTACAAAAACAAAATATAAAGCGATATATAATATAAACAAAAGTAAGATATAAAAAGCTCCAAAGAAAAACATCTGAGAAAACAAGTATTTGGCCCACCACTAATATCGAGTACTGCTGTCTCTTGGCAGACAGCTCTGCACTCTGATTAGCGGAAATCAAGGCTAGACTAGTGCTGGGCAACGAAGTTATGACCAAGTACAGCATGCTCAGGAACGATGATGACGTAGTTGGGGGTGGTAGATTTAGCGTGAAGACCCACCAACAGATGATTTCCTGTCTTATTACTGTTGGCAAAAATAGCGAAGTTGTGTTTATCAACAACAACATTAGGGGTTCTTTTCTGAAAATATAAAAGCATTCATCAGACTTTCCTAAAAACATCAAAATATGACTTCTAAGTGGATCACCTGAGCCGCCACAAAATAGCTTGAACGCCTTGGCTCCCTAATGACGTCATTTTCTGATGAGCAAATCAGCGCCGAGCAAGGCTTACTCTGATTGGTTAGAGAAATATCGAGAGTTTTATGTTGAGGGGACCGGAGTGCACCTTTGGTTAGGAATTTTTTCACGGCGGTGGTAAAATCCTCTGACTTACGCTCTGGCTTGTCTAGTAGTGCCATCTGTAATTGAAGTCTTCAACTAGCAGTTTGGCACTTATGATCGCCAGATGACGCTACCAATCGGTTTAGGTATTTGTTTGACTTTATAAATGAGCGCAACGTGATTAAATAGGTAATTACTGACTCTCGAATCTGCTTAGAAAGTCATTTAGAGCGTATGTGATACTTGTTACCAAATATCTTACGCACTCAATTTCTGCTTCGTGTTTTCCATGCCCTTTGAATCGATCAAGAAAATGTCGCTGTTCAGAGGTTGAAGGTAAGCGGGAAAGGGGTGTTACATATTTGATCTTTCTACAAATGAATGTAGAATAAGAATAAATGCAATCCGCTAAATATAAGCTGCAAGGAGTGCATCGAACTCAACAATAAGCTTTACCTATTTTCATCGCTTTCATGGAAACAACTTAGTCTTATGCTTAAATGATGGGTAAAAACTTTGCAATATTCCACTCATATGATGCCCAAATGTACGACACACAATTCATTTGAAGCCCATGCGTCGTTTATTATCAAAACTACATAACATGAAGAGCATCATAAACTTGGCAGGCTTTTTCTATTTGGTGGCCAGAACTCCATTACCACATTTCTGGATTTTGTATTTGCTGCGCAGCATTTGTCGACATGGCGGAGGCCGAACACCGATCGAGCTGGCATGTGAATCTGGCAACTCCTATGTAAACGGGGCTATGGGCCTGAGCCAGTCGTGGGACGGACGCGCCGTCGGCAGGAACACCGCTATAACCAGGTGAGAAAAAAAAGGGTTTGGCACCTCAGAGGGCTACCAAAAGGGACCGAGTAGCCAGAAGAAATTGAACGCATATAGCATAGGTATTCACGAACCACACACATCGGAATTATTGTAGCGATTAGCCCTCGCCGGCGAGGGGGGACGAGGGGAAGAGGTTGATGCACCCCCCCCCCCCCCGTATGGTTTTTCGCTGAATTGTGCTGAATTTGCCTTTGTTCCTTTACCTTAAGCCTTATGAACTTGTCTGACGACAATAACCTTAGGTTTCTAAAAATTGTCTCGTTCATTTTTTTGTACCACGTTTGTTTCCTTATCTTTTTATCAACTCGCGCCCCGTTGAGCCTTCTGGATTTCAACGCCCTGCTGCCTGCTGGGGGAGGTGCCTGATCTTGTTTGAACCTTCTAACTCGGCTCCTAGTCCTGGTAGATACACGCGGTAGACGGCTTTCGAAGGTGTGTAGAATATAATGACGAAATTACGCATTTCATTTTTAGGTCAGGCATAGACCTCTACATACCGGTAGGTAGACTAGGTCTATGGGTCAGGTCAAAGGTCAGGCTAACAGAGGTCATCAAAGGTCAAGGTTCGCCTGTCAAGAAAATTTCCGTGAATATTGCCGATTCTTTTTTTTGGAATTTGTAGTCATCTGAACACCAAATTATCATTTTTAACTTCAAAATTGAATAGTCAATATACATAGGTACATACACATGCAGGTAACGTTCAGAGTAGTGGCATTAAAGGGACCCTCCCACCTTAACATTAGATTTGAGTTGAGATAGCCAAAATGGGGTCCCTGGCTCACAATTACCGGTTTCGGCACTCACAACATCGAGAAATGCCTTAAATCGGAAATATTGAATTTCAAAATTGCAGCATTTTGATTCAGAGGGGCTAATGCTTAGGAATACCCCTCTGAATGTGTGACGTCAGCGCAAATATCTAACGATTTTTAAATGTTTGACTAAAACGTTTTTTAGCACGCGGTGGTATATGCTATTTGCGCGCAACATCTGCCGCAAACGCCGCACTTCTAAAATAAAGTCGCTAGAAACAGCGGAGGTCCCAAAAAAGTAAACAAAAGTAAAAGTCTAATATCTTGAAAACCGGTGAATATTTTTCGGTGAAATTTGGTAGATATTCGTTTTCGCTCTTTCTGAACCGAGCGACATCACTTTCATGCCAATTCATAAACTTCTTTGAAGGTGGGAGGGTCCCTTTAAGTTTGTTAAATCAAAATCAGCCACATAGTTGTCGAGATGGCTATAACTATTGTAAAATTCGGGCCGGATCCGTCCCTCAGACTGTAACGAAATTCGTTCCTACCCCGTCCTCCACCTCCCTCTGTGCCTACTTACTGCCCAGCCCCCTCGCCCACTTACAATATCCTTATATGGTCCTCACTCCTCACCTGCGACGCCTGTCCTTGCCCGCTTCTGATTGGTGCTATGATATGACGTACATCTGTATGTCTGACGTGTATATGTGACGTATGTGTGTGTGTGTCGTAAACTCGGCCGGTGCCGCGCGGTAGGGCACTTCGGTCTTTGAGTCGCAGCCGTGCACTTATGTCTTTACTGCTCGGCGGATCAGTCTGTCTTCGGACCTTGGCAAAGTCAATTTGTTTGTTATCTTTTGTTTCTGTGGCCGTGAATCGAATACAGGCCCAACTTTGTATTTTACATTCTGTTATTATTGGAATCCGTTGGTTGAACGGCAATAACAACTACGGTCCTACAAATCTAGACTATCACAAACAAGAATTTGCTTATTAACCCTCGCCGGCCGAGGGGGGGGGGGGCGGGTGCCGCCCCCCCCATAGGTTTTTTTTCGCGATAGCTCCGAACACGCTGGCGATAGAGAGCTGAAACTTGGCATACCTGACCTTTGATCCAAGCCGCATCTTTTGACACCAACCGCATTTTTGGGTCAGGTCAGGTCACTGACCTATGACGTCATAAGTGAACCTCTGCACGGTCTTCAGATTTCGCAACTTCGCAACGCCCTCACTGCCAGAGGAGATGTCACAGGGAAATGAAACTTGCAGGATCTAGTATCCATTATGAGTCTCACAACTTGTATATCTCGGATTTTTCCTAAAGGTCATATGAGGTCAGGTCATTTTCGTGACCTCACCATTATAAGTCAATGGGGAAAAATGAAAACTGCAATTCTGGCGCCGGGAACGATCTCCAACTATCTCAAGTACACAGAATCGTGATTTGATGCACTCCTTGCAAGGTTAGATGCGTCACTTTTGCAATGTTGACCTTCCGTGACGTCATTTATGACGTCATCAAGGTCATATTAGTTTTTCGTCAATAACTCCCGAACAAATTGAGCTAGCGAGTCGAGAAAGCCACCAATGGACTCAGGAAGACATGCCGAATCGAATGATATGCGACATGACCTCTTTCGACCAGCTTCGTGACCTGGGGGTGCTGACCTGACCTTGACCTGAGGTCAACACCCTAAGTTGACCTGACCCGAACAAAAAGTATATCATTCGACGCGCCTGAGCGAGGCGAACACGATGCTGCCAAAATCGCGGCTCTGCGGCCGTTTTTTGCGAAGTTATTCACCAAAAACTGAACCGTACCCTGGGGCACTTGACCTGACCTCAGAGGTCACCGGTTGACCTAGGACCTTAAAATCGGGTACCAATCTCTGCGTCTCGTAACGGCGCACACGCTCGTTTTTTCCGCGACGCGCTAGCTCTACCAGGGGCGAAACGGCGAGGGGGGTCGTACCCCCCCCCCCCCCTCGGCCGGCGCGTATGTAGAAAACCAATAGGTCCGGCGAGGGTTAATACTTGTATTCTGCTACACAGACCAATTATCCCTCCTCCACAAAGCCAATCGCACACCATAAATAGGGCTAAATTATCATTTTCTATCGAGTCTTCATCCGCTACTGTGTAGAAGTGGCTCGATTTTCGCAGATTATAAAATTGGGTAGCTTCATACCTACCTAATTGAAGGTGATAAAAGCGCAGCATAAACGAACGTCGCATAAAACATAAGTAGATACCAACAGCATACTGCATACTTTTCTTCATTTTTAGCATACTGCAAGCTGCTTTACAAGCATTTCATTGTTTTTAGCTCGGTATTGATGGATGTTTTTGCCTCCATTTCAGTTTTGAAGAGAGTCATCTACCACCATCGTAGTAGACCAGCGTCGCCATCGTTCAGCGAGGATGACTGGTGGCCAGCAACCAAGACCAAGCGACGCCGGGAAGGTGACGCATGAGGACGCGTCACCTGTGGGATCGGGCGCCCCAAATAAACCAGCCCCGCAAACGCCGGACAAAACATCTGTCCGTCAGTCTGGCCTTCAGGAAACACCCGAGTCCAGGGGACTAGAAAATCCACCTCACGTTCACACATGGGACTCCGGTGAGACAAAACAACAGGCAATGCCCTCAGCACAGAAAACAGGAGCCGCGAAAGGATGCAAGAACAAAACGAAAAAGAAGCGAAAGCGAGCCACATCTCAGAAAGAGACATCCATCTCCCAGTCGGAGGGTAGCTCCTCAACTTCTGGTCCCGCCAACCTTCCTCCAGGTGAAGCAAAGCACGGAGCTGTATCCCCAGAGGGTCGATCGGCGGGACAAACGAAAGGCGGAGATGTGAGCAATGCTCGCTCGCAGAAGATGCTTAAGGAGACACCAACAGAGGTGCAGAATGATAAGGAGTGGCCTAAATTCTCAACAGATGATGGGTCTAAAATGGATATGGAAATCGAAGACGAATCCTTGGTGGTACTGCAGGACATGGGGGACTGGGCGACACTTCTAGAGGAAGAGCCACCTGAGATCCCTAAAAATCGAGCGACAACAACGATGCCTGTGGAAACGAGCCGTGGACTTCTCACCAAGTCAAATCTTGGAAAACGGAGCGCCTGCAAACGATCTGCAGAAATCAGTGCCGCAGAAGATGCAGAGAAGACTCAATATCTCAACAAAAAGGCAAAGAGAGCACATAAATCGTCTGCGGCGTTCCCTGAAAGGCAGGACAGAGCTGTTGCTGGCTTGTCCCAACAGCTGCTCTCTATAAAGATAGAAGAGATCGAAAGCAGCGAGACAAGTGACGCTGTTTTTCCCCCACCCACATCAGGAGAAATGGAGCGGCTCTGCTGGGTCACTCTGGAGGAAGGACTACCTCGTCATTTCTCTACGAAGAGTCTGCGTTCGAAGCGAGTGAATGGCAGAGTTGTTATAACTAATCCGCATACTCTTGTCACAGGCTGTCCGATCGGCATCACGTATACTGGTCTCTTCGGCAAGTTAACCGACGGAGGTTACCAGGCCGGACCCGTTGTCAAAACTCTGGACCACATGGTGCCGTTCTTAAAGAAGAAGTCTGAGCAAGCCATCAAGAAGGCAAGAGGCTATCTAAAAGAAGCCTACATTATCCGCACAGGAGAGCTCCGTAAGAAGTCGAAGTCATACGATTCGCACCTGTACATGGTGCACGTTCTTCGGGGTACGCTCGACTACCTCGACGAGCTCGTGCGGTGGTTGGACCAGGTGGACGCCAACCCGTGGGTTCCATGGGACGAGCGACCGAGCGCCTCTCGGTAGAGTGACTCCTAGCCTTTGATGTCCCGCTGTTACCCATAAGCACCTACACAACACACACATAGATAATAAGGTAAAAAGTGTATGAAAACAAAATGCTGATTGAGCAAAAGGCGCCACGAATCAAGTGCTAAGGCACTTTTGCGCCAATTGCATGTTCATCTTATTTTTATTTCTGTCCATTTATGTTTGTAATAAAATTCGTTGTGTTTGCTTACTTATTCATTTATTGACTACTTGTTGACCGCCGCTCGTGTAGGTGTGGTTTCTTTTACCCGCTCAGTAATAAAGATGGATCAGCAGTTGGCAGCAATTGGGGAGCCAATGGGCGTGTCCTATCTAGTCTGTATATCTATGGCATCAGCTCCCCAAGAACGCATTCAGTGCACCGACTACATGACCATGAGCAAATTCCTATCAGTGACGTCAAACGGATCTAGTTTGGCTCTCAGCCCGATGCGCATTACCATAGATATACAGACTAGGCTCGGAGTTACATGAGCAGAGTTAAAGGGACCCTCCTACCTTCAAAAAAGTTTATGAATTGTCTGAAAGTGATGTCGCTCGGTTCAGAAAGAGCGAAAACGAATATCTTCCAAATTTCACCGAAAAATATTCACCGGTTTTCAAGATATTAGACTTTTACTTTTGTTTACTTTTTTGGGATCTCCGCTGTTTCTGGCGACTTTATTTTAGAAGTGCGGCGTTTGCGGCAGATGTTGCGCGCAAATAGCATATACCACCGCGTGCTACAAAACGTTTTAGTCAAACATTTAAAAATCGTTAGATATTTGCGCTGACGTCACACATTCAGAGGGGTATTCTTAAGCATTAGCCCCTCTGAATCAAAATGCTGCAATTTTGAAATTCAATATTTCCGATTTAAGGCATTTCTCGATGTTGTGAGTGCCGAAACCGGTAATTGTGAGCCAGGGACCCCATTTTGGCTATCTCAACTCAAATCTAATGTTAAGGTGGGAGGGTCCCTTTAATACGCATTACAAACGGACTACAATGGTGAGCGAATAGGAAAATCCGTTCCTGATACGCATTTACTTGCTCATGTAACCCCGGTATATATATAGGACACGCCCATTGGCTCCCCATACTAGCGAACATGTAGGTCAGGCGGCCATGTTGGGGCAGCCGTCTACATAGACTCGCATTTGCTACAACACGTAAAGTGAATGGGGGTGGAGCGGTTTCGAGCCCGTTCTCCAAACCGATTTTTGAGTTCTTGGGAGGCAGCAGATGGCCAGTATGGTTATGAAATGATTAGTTAGAGCCTATAGCCTCACCAAATGTATTTGAAATCAATTTTTTATCATCGTACCGTACCGCAGCGAGGGATTAGTCACCCCTTGTTCCCAGACGGTTTACTCGGCTTGTTCGGTACACGCTGGCCTCAGAGAGCTGAAAGTTGGTACAACTGACCTTTCATTAAATCCGGATCTTATGACATTAATCACCCTTTCAGGTCATGCCCGGTCACTGACCTATGACGTCATAATAGAGCCACCGCGCGGTCATGACATGCCGCAACTTCGCAATGCCTTCAGTGCCAGAGGAGCTTTCACAGGGAGATCAAACTAACATAACCTTGTACCCTCCAGAGGCCTTATAGCTTGTATATCTAATATTTTTCCTGATGGTCACCTGAGGTCAGGTCAGTCACGTGACATCGCCGTCACAAGTCAATGGGAAAAGGTGGTAACTGCTATATTGGTGCCGAAAATGATTGAAGATTATGCAAACGCACGAAACCATGAGATAAAACACATCTTGTAAACCAATTTTTAACTTTTGCACCGTTTACTTTAGCGACAAAGATTACGTCACAAAGCCAGAGTCGGAGTTTTAGGTAAATCATTCGATTAAATTGAGCTGGCGAGTCGGGACAGTCACCAATGGACTGAAGACCGTCAAAATCGAAATGAGTTATACGGCCCTCTTAGATCAACGTGACGTAAGGTCAGAATTCTAGGATGAACTTATCCTAGCACAAGCATATCATCGACGCGCCTGAGCATGGTGACTAGGATAATGCCTATATCGCTAACGTTTATCAGCAAACTAGACGCTACGACATCAGCACCGCCCGTCCTGCCGTCGATGCCGCCACAGACGGGTGCAGCTGCTCCCTGGGAGCCGCCTCGGTGTCCGACCTGCCGTCGGGGCCACCATAGACGGGTGCCGCTATTCCCTGTAGACTGCCTCTGTTGCCCGGTCTGCCGTCGGGGTCACCCCACCCCACACATAAGCGTGTGCCACTGCTCCCAAGGTGCCGCCCGGCCTGCTGTCGGGGCCGCTACAGACGGATGCAGCTGCTGCCGGAGTGCCGCCCGGCCTGCCCATCGGGGCAGCCACAGACGGGTGACGCTGCTCCCTGGGCACCGCCCGGCCTGCCCGTCGAGACCGCCTCTGACGAGTGACTCTCCCTGGGGCGTGCTGTCCGGATCAACATTTTCCCGTTCTTGTGTGCGTTTCGAGACTGCTTGGAATAGGCCAACGTCCTAGTCGCAGCTTCCTCTAGCCTTTGCTTCAGCCCCCGCTGCTCTGGCAGCTATTGAAATGGTCCTGAGGAAAATAAAAACAACCAATCATGCCTACTTCTTAGTTCTCCTATAGGGATAGGGCGATGAGCGGACTCGACACTGACATGCACACACTGCCATGTTCACACACATTCACACATGAGGCGATCAATCATGGTCCATGGAATACAAATATTTATGAGCGAGAAAGAAATGAGATTGATTATCGAAAAATATTGATATAACTTCAAAAAATATCGGGTTAAATGAGTATGAACTGCCAAACTTGATATCAAGCATTCTAGAGAGGCCCATATCTTTGCAGCCATAGGTACATGCTGTTTAGCAAACAGTTATCCCTTATCATGTTGTGTAGCTTATCCATTCTTCCTTGAAATTACGCATTGTTGAAGCATTTGGGGAGTCAACTTGGCACGTTCCACCAGGCACTTACTAAATCATCGGTGCCAAATCTGTTCTGTTTGCAATAACTCCTATTTAATGCCTGGACACATTTTGATGAAACTTTGTGTGCTGTTGTGCACCCACTTCCCTTGGCAGTGCAATGAGAAATGTGGTTTGGGTGCAAGCGCGTGCTGGGTATTTTTATGACTCCAGAATGGCAGGATGCATTGCATACAAAATTGGGACACTGGTGGAGACCAATCTGATGAGAGGCTTATAAGTTTAAACAATCACTTGAGGCATACTATTGTATGTATACAATTGCACAGCCCACCGCTAAAGTAATGTAGGGTTTTACCAATCTCAACGGTTGGCTTTGACTGGCGATTGTTTAATGCGGAGTGATCGATAAGAAGATGTCAATGGCTAAAGTTGCAGCTGCAAGGGTGACGATACATACAAGCTACATTCCGAGTTTCATTGTAGTCTGGCTAATAGTTCCTAAGCTTCAGAAGCAGAACATACCCATGACTGAAACCACACATTACTTCTGCTGTGGACTGTACATGTGCAGAGCACGTATCTATTTCTCACCAACATCTGGAATGATTGTGCTCAAAGTTGGTATGGTATGTTGTAACAGTATAAACAGATCATAGGCTGCTTTCACATGTTAGCAATGACACAGCAGTGGACTCTGCTCACCTTGCACAACTACATGCCACTCACCTGCAGGTGAGCAGGGAAGAAAGACCTGATGGGACTGCACCATAGCACAGCCAAACTGGTCTGTGCAATCGAAGGAGCCCTCATCATGAAGTGTGCCGCATGACCAAGCTTGCCCCCTTCCCACACATGTTGCCACCAGTCCATCTTCACCTGAATGTGCCAGTCCTTTCGCTGTACACACCTGGGTCTTGTCCTTGAGGAAACCTAGAAAGTGAAAAAATGACAGGCATCTGTTAATGTGTTGAATAACTGGTAACAAGGGGCTGGGTAGAGGTTAGTTCAAATGAAATACCTTTTGCAACTATACATTTATATTCACTGCATCAGGTGCATCTTGATGCTATTGAGCTCTTAACAGACCAATTATTTGGCCATAATTGTCCTTATGACCAACTGTTGTTATGGATTGTGATGTATCCACATTAAAACATGAACAGAGACTATCTCACAAAACACATGAACAATACTAACTGCAATTTATATCCATTTCTAAAACATCCTCTCAGACTTAACTGAAAAAGAAATCTTCTATTTACCTGTGGAGAAACACACCCCTTCTTCCTTCAAACTGGTTGGAGCAGTTGCTAGCTAGGCATCTTGCAGCCTTTTTGAGCACTTGTGAGTTGCACATGTAACTGAACCTGAAAGATAGAGACAATAATTGATCATTTTCTTGAGTAAATTACCTGGGCTACATAACCAAGTAACTACGCATCAGGAAAGGATTTTCCTACTCAGTACTCGCTCACCGCTGTACTCAGTTCGAAATATGCATTTATTTACCATCTTTGCTCATAAAACCCAGGTCAATGAAGACTTAGGTATTTCAAACCATTTAGATGGCAAGAGAAACATTGCAATATCTGTAAGGCTATAAAATGGTTCACAATTTTGGAATTTCACATGTAGACCATTGTTTTTAAGGCACCAACCACAGCCCATACGGCAATGCCGATAACATATTGCCAGTGCAGAGGTGCTCATCAGCTGCACAGGGTGGCTTAGATTTGCAGCAGAAAGGTAAACATTTTTGTGTTGAGCATTGCTGGCCATAACATCATACAATGCAGATCTGCTGCACTAGCATATCATATCTACTCAAAGAAAATGGTGAACAGATAGTCAGTCTTCAGAGGCATAACGCAGTCACTGACTGCAAGTCAGCATGTGACTTAAATTTTAAGTCTTATATTGCAGCATTTCCTATCAACAGCGAAGATATATAAAGCTTGTGGTAAAAATGTAGGTCTTGCTAGTCAGTGCAGCTGATATAGGTTGCAGATTTTCAGAGGACTGAAGCAGACATGTCGCCCCAGCTTGTGCGGCTTGCTGACTGTGTTGACGCGTTTGCAGTCTGGCGCACTGTAACTTTTCAAAAGCTGAAATGTTTTTAAATATGAAATGAGGATATGTTTGACATAGTGCTATAATTTAACCGGTATGTCTAGGGGATTGTGTCCTTCACTATATTACTCTATGTGTTGTCTAGGGGTATTAACTACTGCACTGAAAACAAGATCGATGTAGGTATGTGTGTGTTTCCTCTTCTTCTAACACTATCCATTCCACCAGCACACAGACATGAACAAAAAGTAGATATATTGAAATGAGCCGAAAGATGAGACTGAAACCAACAAGGCCGAAAATCAGTTCTGCAGGAGTTGCTAAGAAATCGGGCAGGCCGATATGAAGAACCGAAAGAGCCCGAAAATCAACGAGCTGCTATCGCACTCGAGCAGGCTGATGAAGAAGCCGGAAGTGCCGAAAGAACAGCCTGCAGCTGCCAAGTCGTGCCAATGGCATTTCTCGTCAGCTCCACGACAGCAGGCAGGCTGAAACATAAGTTAGCCAAATAAGACCGGACACTTGTGGACGGTCATCAAAAAAGGGCCGAAAGGGATCAGGGTATATTGAGTGACGGGTAGGACGAACTTTGGTAGGCATTTCTAGTATATCTACTAGAAAACCTACTATATGTGGTCGGGACTAGCAAAACTTTAGTTCAAACTAGAATATGGTAACGCTAATGGTCGGCAGTTGGCATATTTACGTCTGGACAACGAGTTGCGTTGGAGAGGCCGGAAATAGTGGCGATTTCAGGACCGCAAGAATGGACCGTCATTGGAATGATTCTTTTTTAAACCGTGCACTGTTTTCGGCCGGAATTTAATAGTTACTACAGAATATTTTGTAATTACGTTTACAACAAGAATGAATGCCATCAGGGCTAAATTTTTAATACTTTTGCATTTTGTCAAGAAGCATATAGTGCTGTTATATTGCAGTTTTAGCGCGTTTGTTACAAAATATGAAGCGAATAAGCGTCAGTGTAATTCATCAACAGTGGCAACAGTGCCAGAAGTTAACTTGAGGGAAAGCTATGCTAATTGCTCTTGTCCATCCACTAAAATTTATTAAATATTTTGCTTTGTGTATTCCAAAAGGAGAGGGAACTATTTCATTTGTGCCTTCATGTCAGAATTGAAGGTGGATCATTAAATTTTCAACGCAGTTTACAAACAAGCATTTGGTCTTTCTCGTTTATAAGCAGTGGCTAAGAAAAGGTTGATCAATCCTGAAGTTCTATCATCGTACCTCAACTTGGCAGCAAGATCCCCCAAGGACAGAGGATATATTGTATACATGTCCTGTAAATCAAGACAAACAAGCATTTGGTCTTTCTCGTATACAAGCAGTGGCTAAGAAAAGGTTGATCAATCCTGAAGTTCAGTCATCATACCTCAACTTGGCAGCAAGATCCCCCAAGGACAGAGGATACATTGTAAACCTGTCCTGTTAATCAAAGCATTTTTGTGCCTTCAAAGGCTAAAGTTATCTGTGGTGTGTTCAGAGTTAGGTTATATGGCCGTTTTTGTTGTATGTTTATGTGGAGATTGAATATAACTGTGACCCTGTGCTTGTTTGTATACTTACGGTCAAACAGGGAACAGCACATTCACATAACATACTCTACTCACCTAGCACCTAACTCATAGCTGTACCCTGCAGGATCTGTACTTGTTCATGTCTCGAGCATTAACAAAGCACTAAAGTAGCTTAGTAATCATTTCCCACATTTTCTGAGCATCTAACATGACATACAGCAGTGCAGAGCAGCTTCAGAGAAGAAACACTTTAAATGCACAGACTCACACCAGCCACCCAATGAGCCAGTTCCTCAGTTGACTGTTTCCCTGCCCCTGGACACAGTTTGGCAATGTGAGCTAACTTTTGGCAAGTTGAAGGTTAGCAGGTAAGATTGAGTTAGGGTGAGTACCACTACCTACCTATAACTGGGTGCTACTGCCATGCAGGTCTTGGGTAGGCTGCAAATATGTGTGATGATTGAGGTTAGGTCAGCTGTCAGGTTAGTCAGGTTCAGGTATGCTCATTGCTCAGGTCACATTTTTATGGACATTTGGCAAATTAAAAAAACTAACAATCTGATCTAAGCTAACCCGACTAAACATACACAACTACTGACTATAGGAACTGAGCACCTACCTACTTGTGCCTACAGGCTACATCTCATACCATGTCAAAGTAGAGTTCCTTGGTGGAAGATTACGCTCAGTACTTTTTATCCCAGCCCTGTGAAGAAAACTAATACTTCTAAGCTCTGAGTCACTGCTGGCCATCCACAGGAAGAAACGCTGAGACTGAGAGCTTTGCCATTGTATATTGGACCAATAATGACTATCACGAATGACTATGAACACATAATATGATCACATCGTTGCATGGATTGTCACATTGCCAATTTTACTACAATCCTTTTTTAAAGAAATACAGTGATGATGATTAACATCAAAATCAACATAAAGTGGATTTAGTGATCCAAGCTTTCTCCTCCAGTAGCAATGGAATGATCGCATGTTTCATTTGCCAGACACTGAGTACCTGATGCACATTACAATCTGCATAGCATCTAAGCATAGTAAAACTGCCCAAGTCCATTCATTCTAGATTTTAACTTGAAAGTTAGCACTAATTTATCTTGCTGTTGTAAGTTATCATTCAATATTCATACCAATACATCAATATGCGCTCATCAGTCAACATTTTCTGGCATGATCCTGCTCAGCGTGCTCTTCAGTATTGCTCCAAGGTCTACAATATTATAGCTTGTTTTTGGACAATAAGCTCTTTTAATTTTACTTTTTCTTGCTGATATATGAGCCCGATCAACTTGGGTTTATCAACCAAAATTTCATAACTTGTTCAACTTGATATTGATATTGCTCAGTCTGAGTCAGGACCTCTGTCAGCCTCGATACTTCAGATTGTTTTCAGTCAACATGCTTCTTAAATATGATATAATTCAATCTTAAGGGATTCAAAACATCCAACAAAACGACGTACAAGAGCAAGAAAACCACCAGATAAACTAAAAAATGGCCTTGGAACAGAGCCAAGTTGTGTGCTCCATTTGTTTGTTTACAATGATTGTAGTGCTGATGTATTTTTAGGACTCTGAACGTCGGCTTATAAAAAAAATGAAACGTTTTTACAAAAGTTGTAAGGCAAGTAATATTTATCTGAAAGAACTAAAATATTAAAAAGCCAAACACTATGAAATACTTGAATCGGAACGAAAAAGTAACCCAAAAATCCAGCCCAATCACCGGCTCCTAAAACTGCAACACAATCAGCACTTTTCCCCGCAACTCGTTGTCCAGACGTAAATATGCCGGCAGTTGTGACGCGCACGTGACATTTATTTCTTAAATTTCTAAAATAACAGGTTTTAGGGGCCGATTAGTGGGCAGATACATTCTATTAGCTATTCATAATTGATTATGCAAACATTCAAGAATCTACAGCATTCGATTCTAGCCGAAATCACGCGGCGCTCCCAGGATTCGAACTCACGACCCTCGGATCCGTAGCCCGATATGCTACCGACTGCGCTACCGAGGACCGCGCGCCGACGATCGGAGAGGCGGATCGCGGGTGCTGGCGTGCAGAGAAATCTTTACCCTGTACGCCGTAGAAGATCGGCTGGGTTTCGTGAAAAATGGTAGAGGAATTGTCGAAAGAAAATTCATCGATCTGTCATTTGAGACTAAGAACCATTGATTCCTTCAAAGGTTGACCGAGATATTGCTCGCTGAAAACAGGCCATTTAACATGTAAACCCTATGGGCTGGTAGGAAATGTACGCCGTGGAGCAGCAGTGCTACCAACTAACTTCGGCGGGGGCCGGAAAGGGATAACCAAATGACAAGCCGAAAACGATAAAACATAACCGTACAACCTCATACCGAGTGGTTGACCAAGTCCCTGTCAGACGGACTTTCTGAAAGAGGAAGGTCAGCTACCTTCGTCCCCATAGTGCAGCGCAGCTCCCCGAGAGCTGGCTGGGGCAGACCGCCCGTTCTCTTATACTTACGTGTGCATGTCGAGTGTAGTGTTGGAGAGTGGATGTTGTTGAGTGTGGTGTGGACTGTGTGAGTGTGTCGCTGCTGCGTCTGGCGCCCGTTTTATACCTCTCCGACAGTCGTTTGCCCTTGGTGTGTCGTCAACCCATTATCTGATCTAACCCTCGCCGACTGTTTTTGCTGTGGGCGAACGGTGGAGGTCAGCGAGATAGGAACCGAGCGAGCCGCCGCCGGTTGGTCGGCCTTGGCCTCCGGGCCGACTGACGGGGCGCTTCCCGTCGCTGGAAATAATGAGTGTCGCCGATTAGCCGCTCAGAGCAGATGGAAACGATATTTCTCACAGTCGCCCATCCGACCCATATCCCATGATTGTCAACCCTGGGGCTCGGGTCGGCAATGTATCGGCAAGGAAATCAGCTTTAGGTGAGTTAAAAGTTATTAAGTCATTAGTTGTCGTTACGTTCAGTAATAACAACTATACGGTGCCAAATGTACCCGACGTACAGCTTGGAGCCGGGCGCCGCCCGGTCTCCACCAGTGACGTCACGCTAATGCTTAGCGACCGGTCCATTGGAAATCGCGGGATGATTCTACCTCTCTTATACGGCCTTGGTTGTATGGTGCCGGTGCGAGTTTCAGGCGGTTTTCGAGTCATTCAGTGCAAATTCAGTGTGTTTTAACTTTTCTATGCTGTCAGGTGAGTTTATTTTTGGGAAATTTGATGTAGTGGACGAAGGTTGGGTGTAATTTTTTATGAGTTAAGTGTTGAAATCTCCATACAAATCTTCAAGCTGTCGGAAGCTGACGATTGGCTCCTATCACCTATTGCTAGATCCTCCCACCTTCAAAAAAGGTAATGAATTGACATGAAACTGACATCGCATGGTTCAGACAGAGCGAAAACAAATATCTTCCAAATTTCATCGAAAATATTCACCGGTATTGAAGATATTATACTCACTTTTGCTTACTTTTTGGGATCTCCACTGTTCCTAGTGGCTTTATTTGAAAGTGTGGCACTTATTACGCTCAAAGCAGCATATACCAACGTGTGCTACCAAACCAAAACGTTTTAGTAAAAGATATCCAGTAGGCGGAACTATGGTCAAGCGTACCCATTTTCGGGAACGCATTTTCGTTCCCATGTTTGGGAACGATAAACCCAAATATGGGAACGCCATGTAGGCATTATTTAAAACAAGAAAAAGAACCGTTAAATGACGTCCAAAAAATATAAAACGATCGTTAACCGCCTGATATTTGTCTCAATATTGTTGGGAAAGAGTTTGATATTGTAAGGCCCATCGTAGTTTCAAATCGTTCCCCTATTTCTAAAGCAGTCCATCATCCGGGCCGCGAGCCCAAATTTGGGAACGCTCTCGTACACTGGCGCTGCAAGCGTTCCTTATTATGGGAACGGCGTACCCAAAATTGGGAACGATTTCACCGACGCCTTTCAGGGGCTCTTTTCATTAACAAGCATCACATCCAACGCCGCAAATTATTGTTAAAGGGACCCTCCCACCTTAACATTAGTTTTGAGTTGAGATAGCCAAATTGGTGGCCATGGCCTGAAAATACCGTTTTGGGCGTTCACAACATCGAAAAATGCTTTAATTCGGAGATATGGAATTTCAAACTTGCAGTTTTCAGATTCTAAGGGGCTAATGCATTGGTATGTGTAGTGACCGTAGCCTACGGGTACCGTCGTACTGAGTACCGAGTACTCGTTTCTCTATTGTGTCGTTCCCTGTCCGCCACTATCGGAAATAAACAGTCTCCATCTTGGACAAATCGTGGCGTGTCGTGGCCCGGACCGTTCGACGGAACTACACACCCAGGACACTATATTGTGGCGACGAGTGGATACTTTTCGAACTTTTCACGTACTGTCGAGCGCGTGTGTTATATTTTCGTCAGTTTTCTTGCATTCGGCGACGCAATGAGCGCCTTCGACGGGGGAGTGCCACTCCCCGCGCCGTTCCTGCCGCACCCTGGTGCGCCGCCAACGCCGTGGGCGACGTGGGAGCGGCGGTTCGGGAACTACTTAATTGCTCGCAGTGGCGACACCCCTCTACCAGCGGCCCAGAGACGTGCACTGCTACTCTGTGCAATCGGAGATGAGGCATATCGCGTTTATGAAAACTTGCCGACGCTGGTGAAGGACGAGCATGAGGACGACTATGACGTCACCATTCGCCAACTACGCAACCACTACGAACCCAAGACCAACGTCATCGTAGAACGGTTCCAGTTTCGGCAGAGAGGCCAACAGTCACATGAGTCTACGGCAGACTACGCTGCAGTTCTGCATGGACTTGCCAAGAAGTGCAACTTCGGAGCGATGGAGGACGAGCTGATCAGGGACCAAATTGTGGAGAAGACCCCTCACAATGCTCTGCGTCAGCGCCTTCTGCAGGAGCATGACCTAACACTGCCGAAGCTGCTCAGCATGGCAGAGGCTCATGAGCAGGCTCTGCAACAGGCCGCTACTATTCAGCATGGTGTTGTCGCCGCTCCACCTGTTCCCGCTGTCGCCAAGGTGGAGACACGTAAAGGGCATCAGCAACCTGCCCAGGCCGTCAGCACCCCGTGCACCAACTGTGGACGTCACGATCACCCTGTCCGTGATCCCAGCTGCCCAGCCAGGCACATCGTCTGCCACATCTGCAACCGCCAGGGACACTTCGCTGCCTGGTGTCGCAGTCGCGACAACCCAGAACCCAGGGGTGGAGGTTCAAAACCCAAGAAACCAGGTCCTCGTGGTGGCAGATCTGGGTCCAGCCGTTCCAGACCACAAGCTGTCAGAGAACTGCACGTTCTGGCTTGTGAACAGGGCAAGTCAACGAAGCTGTCGTGTCCAGTGACCATCACAGCCGGTGACATCACACGTGAGGATGTGCATCTTCAAGTGGATACAGGTGCCACCTGTTCGCTTCTAAGCCTGCGGCGTGCCAAGCAGCTGTTCAAGGGTGTCAGCTACGAGCCTACTTCTGCTAACCTGTACGGTTTCGGCCACAACCCCATTCAAGTTCATGGCACCCTCCCTGCCATCATCAGCTACAACGAGCGCAAGGTCAATGCATCATTCTACCTGGTGGACACGCCCCGCCTGGAGGCCATCATGGGTATGGATGTGCTGAGTGCCCTGGGATTAACTCTGCACCCAGCTTCGCACACCATCTTCGATCTGGATGAGCAGACCTCTGCGTCAGAGGAGCTACTTCATCTCCCAGCTATCGACGGATACGCTCACAGGATCCAGCTGAAGCCTGACGCTGTGCCTAAAGCGTTCAAGCTTCGTCGTCTGCCTCTCTCAGTCCGGGAGGAGGTGTCAGCCGAACTCAATCGACTTCTCCGAGCTGACGTCATCGAACGAGCAGACGCGTCTCAGTGGGTCAGCCCACTGGCTGTCACTCGCAAGAAGGATGGCAAACTCCGCATCTGCACTGATCTTCGATGGCCGAACTCTCAGATCATCGCGGAGGTACATCCACTTCCCACCATAGATGACCTGGAGCGGAACCTACGAGGCACCGTCTACAGCAGGATAGACCTGAAGTCCGCGTACTTCCAACTCTGCCTGCATGAAGATTCCCGAGACATCACTGCATTCCTCACCATGGACGGCCTCTTCCGCTGGAAACGAGTTCCCATGGGTCTCGTCAGTTCTGGCTCTGCGTTCCAGAAGCTCCTGGACCAAGTCCTGGACGGGATCGCAGGATGTGGTCACTACCTCGACGACATCTTGGTGTCCGGGCGCACTCCGTCCGAGCACGACGCCCGCCTGCATGCCGTCCTGGCCCGGCTTCGCGCAGCTCGCATCACAGTGAACATGCAGAAGTCCGTCTTCTCCCAACCTGAGGTCGACTTCTGTGGTCACCGCCTGACGAAGCACGGAGTCGCACCTCTGCAGTCAGCAATCAGGGCTGTGGTGGATGCACCACACCCCACCGACCTCAAGGAGCTACGGAGCTTCATCGGCACCACCGCCTGGTTCAGCAGGTTCATCCCCGCCTACTCCACGGTGGTCCAGCCGCTGACTGTGATGTTGAAGAAGGACGTCCCCTTCGAGTGGGGCCCAGCCGCGGAACACGCCTTCAACAGCGTCAAGAGCCTGATCTCCTCCAGTCCGGTGATGATGCCGTTCTCGCCGGCACTGGACACCATCGTCACCACGGACGCCAGTGACCGTGGGGCAGGCGCCGTCCTGACTCAGATCCAGGCGGACGGACAGGAGCGCCCTGTGGCCTACTGGTCACGTTCCTTCACAGATGCTGAAGCGAAGTACTCAGTCTCCGAAAAAGAAGCGTTGAGTGCTGTGAATGCCATCGAGCACTGGCGGATCTACCTCTGGGGCCGCCACTTCACCCTACGAACCGACCACTCCGCGCTGACAACGCTGCTGTCGCCTCAGTCAGCCAACCGCGCAGGAGCTCGGATCGCCAGATGGCAGTCACGACTGATGTCGTACTCTTATACCGTCCAGTACAAGCCTGGCCACAGTATCCCGGTCGCGGACACTCTCTCGCGACTACCGCTCCCAGACACCACTGCCGCTGAGACTGACAGTGACGATGTCGTCGCACTCGTCACTGATGCCGCTGCCGACGTCCTCACGGAGGAGGACATCCGAGCCGCTTCAGCCGCCGACCCGGTGATGGAGAAGCTGCGTTCTACAATCCGCTTCGGCTGGCCCGACACGGCTCGCAAGTGCGCGCCGGACCTTCGCGATTACTTCGCCGTGCGCCACGAACTCCAGTGCAGAGAAGATGGCATCGTCATGCGCGGACCTGAACGGGTCGTCGTCCCCGAGACGCTGCGCAGCAGGTACCTGGAGCTGGCACACGCCGGTCACCAAGGCGTTGTCCGGTCGAAACAGCTCCTGAGAGACCTGGCGTGGTGGCCCGGCATGGCGACTGCTGCTGCCGCCCTCGTGAAGAACTGCCACGTGTGCTGTTCAAAGGACTCGGTGCTCGCCCAGCAGGCGCGACCAGCACCACTACAGTCGTCCAGCTGCCTGACCGACCATGGTCCAAGCTCGGTATTGACATCGTGGGACCCATCTCCGCAGCGCCTCCTGCCGCACGGTTCGCGATCGTCGTTACCGATTACTACAGCAAGTGGCCAGAAATAGCTCTGACATCCACAGTCGAAACTGATGACATCATCAGGATGCTCAGCGCTCTCTGGGCTCGAGAAGGTTTCTGTGATGAAATCATCAGTGACAACGGTCCACAGTTCTCAAGTGAGAAGTTCCGCACGTACCTGCAGCGTCGCGGCATCACGCACCACCGGTCATCACTCTACTGGCCGCGTGGCAACGCTGCAGTCGAGCGGCTAAATCGAGAAGTCAAGAGCTGGCTGCAGGAAGCCGCCCAGTTGAGGCTCAGGACAGCAGACTCCTTCTCCAACCACGTCACACAGCGACTCGCGCTGTATCGGACGACCCCCCACTGTAGCACCGGTGAGGCGCCGTCAGTACTGCTGCATGGACGCCGGATGCGTCTGAATCTACCAGTCGTAGAGGAAGCAGCACATGACAAGAGGATTTCCGACCGTGTCGCCAAACAACAGCGCCGAAACAAACGGAACTACGCTGCACGTAAAGGTGTGAAGCGGCCTGGTCTACGGCCGGGGGACCTGGTCCGTGTGAAGAAGCCAGGACACGTCCCGAAGGATCAAAGTCGATTCTCGGCTCCAGTCCCAGTCACCCAGCAGCTCGGCCCAGCAACCTACCTGCTGGCTGACGGCACCAGAAGGAACGCGGCTCACCTGGCTAGCGTGCCTAGTGGCAGCCAGGATGGAACCGGACCTGCCACACCGCCGTCAGGCACAGCCGGACCCGTCACTCCGCTGCTGTCTCAGCCGCCGACTCAGCGGTCACCGACTCTACTGCGGGACCAGCCGCCAGCGCCACCGCCGGAGACAGCACCGCCATCTACAGGACGAACAACGCCCTCGCGATCACAGCCAGCCACCGCCGACGCTGGTAGCGCGGACCGTGCCGTGCCTGACTCTGATCTGGCTGAACACGAGCTGCCGAGATCGTCGTTCGGTCGCCGTCGGTTCGTGCCTGTGAGGCTGCGCTGATTGTATTTTCAGAACCACAGTGTCTGATTGTTTCGTTTCAGTTATTGGCTTTAACCGCGTTTCTGTATTAGTTTAACAGCTTCGAGTATAAGCTGTGTCGTGTCTATTTGGTGTATCATCCGGTGTCAATTATGTTCAACTTTATTGAGGTGGCGGATGTAGTGACCGTAGCCTACGGGTACCGTCGTACTGAGTACCGAGTACTCGTTTCTCTATTGTGTCGTTCCCTGTCCGCCACTATCGGAAATAAACAGTCTCCATCTTGGACAAATCGTGGCGTGTCGTGGCCCGGACCGTTCGACGGAACTACACACCCAGGACACTATAGTATGCCCCCTTAGAATTTGTGACGTCAGCGGAGATCTAACGATTTTTAAATCTTTTACTAAAACGTTTGGCAGCACGCGGTGGTATATGCTGCTTTGCGCGCAACAAATGCCGCACTTTCAAATAAAGTCGCTAGGAACAGCGGAGATCCCAAAAAGTAAACAAAAGTAAAAGTCTAATATCTTGAAAACCGGTGAATATTTTTCGATGAAATTTGGTAGATATTCATTTTTGCTCTTTCTGAACCGAGCGACATCACTTTCATGCCAATTCATTGACTTTTTTGAAGGTGGGAGGGTCCCTTTAACGCAACAATCATGACCTTTCCGGCAAGACCGTCGCATGTTTCGCCCGGTCTTCTGCGCTTTTATTCCCGTCGATCTCGCAGCGGGCACGCCCCCCTCTGCAGGATTACGTAATTCACAACGCTCAGCGATGTTCAACAAGGTCTTCCATACCTATATCCACTGTCCGCGCCGAGGGTGGAGACATGTCAAGCACCTGTCTGTTTATCACCGATAGTTGACGAGCACAAGGAAGTATCCAAAAATGGGAACGCTGAATATGTTAAACCCTCAAAACACCTAGTCCCAATGAAAATCTAGTTTTTTCCTTTCTTGATGAGTGTAAGTGGCAAAAGGTCTGGTAGGATGGGCACGACGAATGATCGAAATCAGCATAAAAATTATAAATAAGCCACACAGAGCGACCTATATAAGAGAAATTCCCCCAAAACGATCACGCTTAGAAACACGGAAGACAAAAACCACGCTCATGACGCTCCTTATAAAACAACTCTAAACAGCTAGCATCCAAATAAAATATGTCTTTCTGGGACGATAAAATACAGCTGAATAATTTTAAACCACTGAAACTGAGTTTACAACAGTAGTTCGGTAAAATCACTGATGTTCCATGCGGTCGTGCGCCCCGACACCAAATGTCACCAATATTACCCCCGGACTGTCTGCGTGTTCGCTTGCATATGTCAGCATCTGGTGTCGCTAGTATGAAACTTCATAACCAGGCGAAAATTATTATACTTGACCTCAAAATGTAAAAAACGCTTCATTTTCCTTAAAATTGCAAGTTAAATGTAGTAAAACCCATGTTTTCACCATTCCGTCATTTCAAAAAATCATTAAAAATATCATTCGACGGTCAATTTCCTTGTGCATTGGTCAGATTAAAGATAATTTTTATAGAGACTTAGTAAATACTTAAATTAGCGTGCACTTTTTTGAGACGTGATGCACTAATGAGTTTTAGTGGGCGAACGGCCGAAAAATTACCTTCCGTTCCCATAAATGGGAACGCCCGTTCCCATAACGTTCCTATATTTGGGTACTCATGACCATGGATGAAGTATTCCTGGATAGGACACTCCCTATTCCCCAACACTAGCGCCGGCGACCAAGCGGCCGCCCTGGTGGCGGAGCTCCGAAACATCGGCGGCGAGTGCGCCGGCGGCCGCCGCACCGGCTTGCGTGCTAAAAACGCGGTAATGGAGGGCGAAATTAGCGAACTCTAGCTCATAAGACACAATTTCAGACACTTTAAACATAATTTCTAGTCCTTTCTTATCATTATTATGGATCCATTTAGTCACTATCACATACGGAATCATTACCTGATGCCCATAAACTGAGCCGGTATTCTTGACTTGCCGATGCAATTTATCATCAAATATCATCGTTCCTCGGCAGTCGAACAAGTCCCTATTGATGATTTAATACAAATATTAACTTATTTTCATGTTATCGCATAAAACTTAACTTTATTCCAACATTGGCTCTTCGGCTGTAATCACGAACCCTCACTTGTCAGCAGAATTTAAGCAACTTCTTAAATCAAAACTGGGAAAAGAATATTTCCATGACATTCCTCAATTCCTGTTCTACCTGGTTCACAAAAATTTTCATCAAAATCGGTTATAGGTAAGTAATAAACGACAAAAGTATACAAAAAGACACGCTCCGCCCATAGCCCGCAATGCTAAAATGACGCCAGCGCCCTCGCCGTCGGGAAATCCGCCGCCGCCGCCGGGTGGTCGGAAAATCGGCGGAGTGTCCGATCCAGGAATACCTAATCCATGTCATGACCATAGTTCCACCTACTGATATAAAATTGTTAGGTCTGCGGCTGCGCTGACGTCAAACATTCAAGGGGGGGGGGGGGGGCATTCTAATGCATTAGACCCTCTGAATCTAAGTGCTGCAACTTTGAAGTTAGATATTTTCTATTTGAGGCATTGCTCGATCTTGCAAGTGCTGCAAGCCAAGGACCCCATTTTGGCTATCCCAACTCAAAACTAATGTTAAGGTGGGATGGTCTTACCTGGTTGGGTTCCCAGTGTCAAGAGATGTAGATGGAAAGAAGAAGTAGGACAGACAGGAACCTTGAATCCTAAACGCGCCAGCCGAGGGAGATCTTCACTTGTGGTTGTCTAGCGCAGAAAGCTGGAATTTATTGTCTTCCGTTGAGTCCTGCATGTGTATGCATGTACAAACACACTGTAGTTTTTCACAGAGAAAAAAGAAAGAAATGAATGCACTATGCAGTGCAGAGAGGCCGGCAGAATATGCAGCGCGTGAAAGATTTGTACAGTCGTTCAAGTAACGCTAGACATAGGCGAACAAACTCCCATGCAAAGTGTCATGCAGGACCTCCTTGAACCTAAGCGCTGTTCGGCAGCCGGCTATTTTGTGTTCCTTTTTGTACATCATTTAAGAGCAAAAAACCTCGAATTGCCTTATTTCTTCCTATAAAACAATTAGGGATGGTGGCCCTTCCCCATACAATGAACAAGAATGTTTGAAAGATATTGGTTAGTGTTAAAAAACCATTAGGATTTGGCATGGTGGCAAAGTCACCTCTTTTTCAGTTAAACTTTGCCATGACTCATTTTCTTTAAAAATTTATATTTTTAGGCAAGATATAAATACTATACCTAATAGCAAAACCCAAAGAGCTAATCTTCATCCATGTTTTGAACATAGAGTCATCCAAATAAGTTAGGTAACAAGTTTAAATAATGCAAGCGTCTAAAGTTGAAAACATGGCAAAGTCACCCCCGTTTACGGTATTCAGCTTGGTATCACTGTGTGTCAAGGGCTCAAGTTATTGCAAAAAAAAGTATTTTTTCCTATTTGACTGCAGTTGACCCAACACTAGCATTCTTGTAACAAACAGACATAGCCACATATTCAATTAACTACAAACTGAGGTAATATGACACAAAATGGTGAAATGGAGCAGATATCTTTTTTTACAATTAGAGCCATCCAAAAAGATGTATACCTATGTTACCATGACCTATAGGCTAGATGACCTCAGGGCCCTGTTTCAAGACACGCTGTCAGTCTCTGCCAGCGCATTTCGTAAACTGACTGTTAGTTTAATTGTTTACATTCCTGATGTGCTGTATATGTATACGTAAATGTGCACGGTCTTGAGCATGCGCATGTGTCTCTGGTTTCCGCATGTGTTTGGCATGTGCATGTGCATCCCGCGCTATGCATCCCGTGCTATGCCTTACTCATACTGTCTTCGTTTACCTTTCAGTTTGTGGTGGGGCTTAAATAAATGCACGCTCAAGAGATATTGATCTTTATAAATTGAACATTGGTAGCAGAGCGTGGTTACAAGATGGCATCTAGAGATTTCAAAGCCCCACCACCTATGCGTCAAGATTTGCCATATTCAGAGTGGAAGCATGAGATCAAAGTGTGGAAAGCTTTCACTAGCTTGGAGAAGTCCAAGTTGGGACCAGCACTGTTCCTGTCCTTAAAGGAAATAGTTCACTTTTTAACATGGGTTTTGAACTGGAATAGCAGTTCCGTAGCTTGGGCTGAGACGAGCATAAATCAGGAGCTTTTACAGCCCAACGATCACCCTAGGCAAAGATATTCTATTTCTCGTCCCGAAAAAGGTGTCTTGCGTTGAGGATGTGTGCCTTGCATATATTTCCATCCAGTATGAAAAGAGCATGGGTCCCGAAAATTCTTCAGAAATTAGAGAAATTATCTACGAGAACTCTAGAGAAATTCTCGTACTGATCAATTAGGACATTCAGGGGAACATTATCAGATCGAGCAGATCGCCCAAATGCCGGTGGCTGCGATAATTTCTCTGTTTCTGAAGAATTTTCGGGACCCATGCTCTTTTCATACTGGATCGCTTGTGCCTTACAGAAACTGAAAAGTTCTTCCTATATCAAAATATAGAAAAAAATCTTTTTTTATAAAAAGGTTTTATTTTCTTTGCTGATTATTTTGAACATAAAAAATAATAAATCGTTGCAAAAAAAATAATTTCGTGAAAGTGAACTATTTCCTTTAAGTGGATCTGCCAGAGATGCAGCCCGTGAGGTGTCAATAGAGATTCTGAACAGTGATACTGGACTTGATGCTCTCATAGAGAAGTTGGACGAGTTGTTCTTGAAAGATGAGAACAATGCAGCCTTTGAGGCATATGATGCGTTCGAGAGATATGAGCGACCATCTGGCATGTCTGTGTTTGAGTACATCAACACATTTGAAAGACTGTATCAGAAGGCAAAGCACTACAAGCTGGAGTTGCCTGATGGTGTTCTAGCGTACAGACTCATTCGCAGTGCTAACCTTTCAGATGCACATCAACAGCTAGCAAGGGCAACTCTGCCGTCGCTCACATATGCAAACATGCAAACCCAGCTGAAGAAGATCTTCACAGACAGTAGTTCTCAGGGTGTGCCGTCAGCGAGAGTGGCAGTAAAAGTCGAGCCCGTGGATACAGTCGCAGAACCAGGGCTCGGCCAGGCGGCCAACACCCTCTTCGTACAGCGAGGCAGAGCACAGAGTGTCGGACGAGGTTTCAACCGAAGAGGACGAAGTGGTGGACCGCGCTTCGCCTCACGACCGCCTCTGCGTGGCAGTGGGACTACCTGGACTTCACGTGGCGGCTCGAGAGATCCTGGATCTGCTGGACAATCCGCCAACCAGCGCACAAGGGCTAGATCTAGGCAGAATCCACGGGATTTAAGGGGTAATGTGACCACCTGTGCAGTGTGCAACTCTTGGTTTCACTGGGCCAGAGATTGCCCCGATCGCGGTGAGGTGTTCGAGGCGTCTGCTTGTGACGATGATAGCCATGACCCCACACAGGACGAGGAGGTATTCGTGACGTTGTTTGCGAGGGATACATGTGAAAGTGGACCAACTGAACGTTCAAAGACGGAGGGACTGCTGGGCGAAACACTAGGCTATGGTATCATCGATAGTGGATGTAGTAAGACCGTGTGTGGTGAGGTGTGGTACAAATGTCACTTGGATGCCATGTCTTCAGATGACGCGGAGCGAGTGGTAGAGGAGCCCAGCAGCACAACGTTTAGATTTGGGGATGGTGAGAAGGTTACTTCTCTAAAGAAAGTAACGTTTCCAGCACTGGTAGCCGGTAAGACGGTGCGCGTGGCTGCTGATGTGGTTCCCTATGAGATACCTTTACTCCTCAGCAAGGAGTCGCTGAAGAAGTGTGATGCGCTGCTAGATTTTTCCCGAGACACGGCGGTACTGTTTGACACTGAGGTCAAGCTATCTGTGACCTCAAATGGCCACTACATAGTACCTGTGGCGAAGTTTCATGTCGGTAGTGTGAGTGCCAGGCAGGACATAGAGCAGGTACTTTTTTGTTCAAAGTTTGAGGGTGCCAACGAGAAGGAGCGCATGCAAATAGCTAGGAAGTTGCATCGTCAGTTCGGTCATCCTAGGAGTGTGAAACTGCAGTCCCTGTGTCTTGATGCTGGCGTCCAGGACAAGGATTTCTTTCGCATGCTTGTCTCAGTGGAGGAAACCTGTGATGTATGTAAGAGGTATAGGAGATGTCTGCCCCGACCAGTGGTTGGTTTTGGGATGGCTCGCGACTTCAATGATGTCGTTGCGCTGGATCTAAAGCAGTGGGGACCTGGAGTATGGTTTTGCCACATGATAGATCTGGCCACGAGGTACAGTGCGTGCGTGGTAGTGAAAAACAAAGACAAGCAAACGATCCTGCGTGCAATCATGACTGAGTGGATAGCTAGGTTCGGGGCACCCGGTCAGTTCTTGTCTGATAATGGAGGTGAGTTCAACAATGAAGAGTTCCGAGAGATGGCCGAGGCGTTCAACATACGCGTGCGGACTACTGCTGCAGAATCCCCTTGGTCGAATGGGATCAATGAGAAGTACAACGGTATCATCGCCAACACAGTGAAGAAGGTGATGGATGACACTCCATGCTCTCTCGAGGTTGCTCTGGCTTGGGCTGTGTCAGCCAAGAACTCTCTTGAGACTCACCTGGGATTCAGTCCTAATCAGCTTGTGTTTGGGCGAAATCCGAACAACCCGGCGTGTCTCCATGACAAACCTCCGGCTCTGAGACCTCCTTCCGGAAGTGATTTGGTGAGGACACACCTGAACGCCATGCATTCTGCCAGGCAGACGTTCATTCAGAACGAGTCGAGCGAGAAGTTGCAGAGAGCACTTCTTCACCAGGTCCGTCCCAGTGGTGAGAGGTTTTGCTCGGGTGATGTCGTCCTGTACCGACGTCACCAAGATGACAAGTGGCGAGGTCCAGGTGTCGTCATTGGACAGGAAAACAAGCAGATCCTGGTGAAACATGGCGGCGTGTACTACAGGTGTCACACAAGCGCTGTCGTGCGCGACACAAGTGAGCCGCGGGAACTGACAAAGCGAGGCCGGATGTCAACTTCGGATCCGGCTCCAGGGACCCAGAAGTTGGAGAAGATCAGTAGTGCTCCGATCCCGGAGTCTGCTGAAGACTCCGATGATGATGAGCAGAACTCCAGGTCTACTTCGTGTACGGTGTCTGGGGACGCAAGACAACGCCAGTTGGTGACGGTATCACCCACTGGCGGTCTGCAAGATGTCGAAGGCGGCTCTGGTTCGGAACCCGGATCGCTAGCTCAGGCTACCAGAGAGTCCAATGCCATGGACAGTGATGGTGGCTCTGGTCCGGAACCCAGTTCGCCAGCTCATGCCACCGGAGATTCCAGTGTCGTGGTCGGTGGTGGCGTCGTCGTTCGTGACAAACCCTCGATACCTCGCGCTAAGTCGCGCATTACCTATGTTCTTCGTGATTCCTCTGATTGGAAGAGTGCCACAGTCCTGAGTCGTGCTGGGAAAGCCAAAGGGAAGTACAAATCCTTTTTGAATGTTCTTGACGATGGTGATGAAGTTGGCAAATGTGTAGACTGGCGGGATGTTGATGACTGGAAGCCTTTGAATCAAGACGTACTGGTGTGCACCTCGGATGACATCATGGCGGCTAAATTGTGTGAGTTAGAAAACTGGGAAAAGAATGAGGTGTATTCCGCTGTTCCCGATGAAGGACAACACTGTATCAGCTGCCGCTGGGTGATAACTGAAAAAGGTAATCCTGATGGTAGCTCACGCATCAAGGCTCGACTTGTTGCCAGAGGTTTTGAGGAGGACACATCTGGAGTCCAGACTGACTCGCCAACGTGCGGGAAGGAGTCACTAAGGGTGGTGCTCGCCATTGCAGCCTCACAGAGTTGGAGCTGTCATAGTATCGACGTGAAGGCAGCGTTCCTTCAGGGTTCTCCTCTCGAACGCGAGGTGTTCTTGCGCCCGCCTTCTGAGGCTAACGCAGGGTCACATGTGTGGAAAATGAAGACGTGCGTGTATGGCCTGAATGATGCCAGCAGGTACTGGTACCTGCGTGTCAGACGGGAGCTCCTCGCACTGGGAATGGTGGCCAGCAAACTTGATGCGGCGCTTTTCTACTGGAGAGCTGAGGACGGCCTTGAGGGCATCATCACCTGTCATGTGGACGATTTCCTGTGGTGTGGTTCCTCAAGGTTCGAGAAGGAGGTGATCGAGAAGCTGCGGCAGGTCTTCCTCCTGGGTTCTGAGGAATCTGAAATCTTCAAGTACCTTGGGCTGCACATTCACCAGCAGTCTGATAAGGTGATCAAGGTTCACCAGATGCCGCAGGCTGAGGAGCTGCAAGAGCCAAATCTCTCACCAGAGAGGCGAATGCAGAAAGACAGTGAGCTCTCTCCTGCAGAGCTTACCCGCCTCCGTGGCGTGACAGGACAAATCAATTGGCTGGCCACGCAGACAAGACCAGATCTTTCATTTGATGTTTGTGATCTCTCTTGTTCCATTAGGGATCCAAAGGTAGCTGATCTACAAAGGGCTGCTAAGGTAGTTCGAAAGGCTCAGTCGGCGCGGGTTAGTCTGAAATATCCTCATCTGGACTTGTCACAGAGCTCGGTGGTAGTGTACAGCGATGCGAGTTACGGCAATCTTCCAGATGGGTCCTCGCAGGGAGGATACGTTGTGTTCCTTAGAGACAAAAGGGGAAGATGCGCGCCACTTGCCTGGTCTTCAGCAAAGATCAAGCGCATTGTGAGAAGTACGTTGGCTGCAGAGTGCATGGCACTTCAAGATGGTGCTGATGCAGCTGTCCTTTTGGCTGCGCTGATTTCTGAGGCACTGTATGACGGGTCAGGAGACATGAGTGTGATGTGCTATATAGACAGCAGAGGGCTGTACAGGGCACTGTACTCGACCAAGGCGGTGCAGGACAAGAGACTTCGGATTGACATAGCCAGGATTAGGCAGATGTTGGAAGTTGGCGAGGTGACCAGGGTCTGCTGGGTCGACAGTTCTCAGCAGCTGGCAGACAGTCTGACCAAGAGGACGGCATCTTCCAATGCTCTGTTAGACGTGCTGAAGACGGGTATTCTGTGAATCGGGTTAGGTGTCACTATGAGGATGACTACGGTATCGTTGTTGAAGGAGGTGTCGTTGAAGACCTGTTTTGTTGTGACTCGCGTATTGAACAAAAAAGATAAGGGGATGATTGTTAGTTTAATTGTTTACATTCCTGATGTGCTGTATATGTATACGTAAATGTGCACGGTCTTGAGCATGCGCATGTGTCTCTGGTTTCCGCATGTGTTTGGCATGTGCATGTGCATCCCGCGCTATGCATCCCGTGCTATGCCTTACTCATACTGTCTTCGTTTACCTTTCAGTTTGTGGTGGGGCTTAAATAAATGCACACTCAAGAGATATTGATCTTTATAAATTGAGATCTTTATCACAGTGAAGATCAATATTGATCTTTATCACAGTGATCACACTTGTCACGTGGTAGTATTTGAGCAATACAGTGTCCCAAAATCATATTTTTGCTTGGGTGTCAGAGGGGAAAATTGCTGACCAAAAAAAGGATGAGAGTGAAAAATTGTCGGTCAGGTAAGGCCCAAAAAGAGTGGGAAAATGATCAAAAACATTAATCTATCTACAATTGTGACAGATGCAAAACAACCATTCACGCAATTGCTCCTTCTTGGTGGAATTGGGAGTGGAAAATTGGGCTTGAAAACTGGAGGTGAGAGTGGAAAATGATTTTCATTTGGATGTCATTTTCCACCCACATCTACAAATTTTGGGACTCAGCAATGGACTTGTTGATGTTTCCACGGAACACCAAATTGCCATGTGTGCTGGCAGCGACTGGCAGCGTGCTGGTGAAACACCACCCGCAGGGCTGTTCACAGGCCCTGTGTCATAAAAGGTCAGGGAAAATTGTTATAGATTCGCGGCCAACGAATAACCGCCTTCGCAAATAGCGTGAGCACGATGGCACGTAGCACCACAAAATTTGAGACATTCTTTAGGGCATCTGTTTGGTGGGCCCTTGGACTTTGAGTCCCAGTGACCTCAGGCCAGGTTACTTGGTCACCAAACCTGGTACATTATCAAAATGGCACTGATCTTTTCTATGAAGCTTAGAATAAGGCATCAACTTGATTAGAACTTACATGATGTTGAACTCACCTGTTGAACTCACCTGTTAGATTTCCTTGCCCAGATGATGGGTTATAATAGACAGGAAACCATGTCGAAAAGAGACGCGTCGGCCTGGACAATAGATAAACAGGACATTCAGGACTGGACTATGCAATTGTTATGGGTTGGAACGGTATGTCTTCTTGGGTGTAGTTGTTGCTGGTGGAGATAGTCTTTGTCCAATTTGCAACAACAAGAGTACCTAGTGTTGGGTAAGATGTGCAATGAAATGAGTAACATGTGGAGAATGAGATGAATCGGAATGGGGAGCAGGGGGCGAGGATGGGACTCCCTGGCGCCTATAACCCCGCTATTGCTTGATAAAGGGGGCGCCTCCCACTTACCAGGGAAAGACAGGGATTATTAGGTCTATTTCGTTTTCAGCTATCAGATATAATCAAAAAGTTGACTTGCGAGACAGGTTTCCAAGGCAGACTTGAACTCACTCAGTTTCTTAGATATAACCACCCATGTGCTATGCTGAGTGCCATAACATGCATCCCAGTTGAGTTCTGAGGGCTGTTCATGAGCACTGCAAACTGCTGCGTGCAGTGTGTGCAGCAGGCATGGGGGTAGGAGATGGGTAGTCGGTATGCAGACGTGACATGGAGCTGTTTGCGGTGACGGAAGGATGACGGTCCGACCGCACACAGGCTTTAAGTGTTTTTTTTTTCAACCTGGTGACCTGACCTGAACTGACTGGGACTTGAAATTTTCATGGTATGTTCATGAAGTATGAACTCCTGCCTTTTTGCACATTTTTTGCTTGCAAGATTTCTGCTAGATCAGATGTGCTGATGCCAACAACAGGCTGTTTCAATCCTTGATGTTTGATGAGTTGAGCGCCAGTGCGTTGTTTTCAGGCCGTTTTAGCGAGTGACTGCTGCAGATTGGTTCAGTACGTCATGACTGAGGGCAGCGAGGGCGGCACTGCCACCAGCGACGATCACCTCATCCCTCATGAAGTGCTCAATCCGTTTGTGGCTCGGCTGGACGCCCTCAACTCCACATATGACAAAGTCAAGGTAGGTTCCTAACATACTGACTACTGGCGATCTCATAATGAAAGCTGCTTCCATGATTTTGTGTATTTGTTTGTTTGTTTGTTTGTTTGTTTGTTTGTTTGTTTGTTTGTTTGTTTGTTTGTTCACTGGTAACATGCGTTCGACCACTGCACTGGTGTGCGGTTACTACTTAACCCGCGCCCTGCTGGGGGGGGGGGGGGGTGTTTGAACACCCCCCCCCCCTTGTGGTTTTTCGCGAATATCTCAAAAACGGCGGCGCGGAGCGCCGCCGTTTTTGGTACACCTTATCATGCATCAATTCTACACATGTTGTGAAAATTTCAGACCGAGGTCATTCAAGGTCAGGTCACCAGGTCACTTGAAGTGACCTCACCTCATAAAAAGTTTCAATGTCTGTCATAGCTACACCGAGTGACCGATCGCTTTGAAACTTTCAGCGATTGCTAAGAGCAATAGCATGTACAAAATGTATATCTCAGAATTTTGATATCGATGACCTAAGGTCAGGTCAATTTTGCGACCTCCCCATTATAAGTCAATGGGAGAAAATTGAAATGTGTCTCTTTCGGACGAAAGACATTATAAACACTCCCAAACACTGAATTACAAGTGGTTTAGACACACTGAACATGAAAATGGTGTCCGTGACCCCTGTTTATGCCCTGAGGTCATCTTAGGTCACGAATGGTATCTAACAGTTTTTCGCAAATAACTTTTGATAGAGGCATGCTAGAGCGATGAAAACACCTTAGATGTGTTCAGCTCGACGATACGGATCGACTGATATGCAACATGACCCTTTCCGGTCAGGTCATGACCTTGACCTGAGGTCAAATTTTCAAGTTGACCTTTCAAGGTCAAGTTATAGTTCATTCGATGCGTCTTGACGAGAGGAACACGATGCCGGTAAAAGTAAGCTCGTACAAGGCTTGGGTCAAAAGTTATTGCAGAAAAACTGTTTCCGAAAAAATCAGCTATTTTTGCAGTTTTTGCCCCCTGCAGGCAAAACCGTTGACGTTAGGTCAAATCTGAGAGAATTGCTCAGAAAGGGCGTTAATAGGGCTATCGAATGCGCTTTTCCGCGGCGCTGTAGCTCTATTGGTTCCCGAGTTATGCGTTGGCTTCTTGGAAATTTTCGACATTCGACCTGGAAATCGGCGAAATTTTGCCTTCAATGACCTCTGGTGACCTGACCTTTGACCTGACCAAAAAATTGACCGAAGTGATTTCGTCATTATTTTTGACGCTCTTTTGAACGCCGCCTTCCGCGTATCGCTACGTGGCCCAGGAGCCGAGTTAGAAGGGGGGGGTGTTCAAACACCCCCCCCCCCCCCCAGCAGGGCGTGGAAATCCAGGACCCCCAGCCGGGCGCGGGTTAAGAAATTGATGCCATTCTTGTGAAGGGGCCAAAGGGCCTAAGAGCAGGGATCCATTTTCTGATCAGTCTGGACGGCTCAGGTACAGAGTTACTCATTCAGATACAGGTTGACAGGTTCACACGGTGTCAAATTTAATGTCATGTGCTATGTGCAGTGTGCACTGTTGTATTGTATCATCTTTGTGTTGCGTGCATGATTCATTTCTATTTGTTCGCCCCATTCAACACGACTTGTACGCTCCGAAGCTGTTATCAATGCCATCATCTCTGCCTTTACATCTACTACAATATTATATTTTGTTTACAATAATATGATATTTACGATAGTTTTGCAAGGTACTCTGTGTCTGATGTTTTATGCACCTTTTTGAGATGGGGGACATTTTGTCGCCTTTATTTAGTTGCAGTCATTTTCTCGTGCTATGTGTGCCTCCACAACAAAAAATATAGCCACGTAATCGCCGAATAGGTCAAAATAGTAGGGGAGAGGCGGGAGAATTGGGACTTATTTCTCAAGCCATATTTACTGAGATATTATTCGAAAAGTATTGTTGCCAAGCTGCTTTGTGCAGCACCAATAAAAGATAGGCCATTTCTCTGCAGCATACCATCATAAAAAACCGAGCGTATGCAGTGGTGTGGTTATGTGTGGAGAAAAACAAAAACACTCATTTTGGGGAGAATAGGGACACACGCAGGAGAAAAGGGACAGACACGAGGCTGAATTGGGACACATAAAAATAAGGTATTGGGACAACATTTTATCTCGAATTATTGATCTGTCTATGTCTAGGCAATCAATTGATACGTTGGAACTTATATTCACACGATCTGTTTCGTTAAGGCCGGGATTGTAATTCACGATTACGATGTTCCCATAAAGTGCACATTTTAAGACTTCTTGGTCTTCGCTTTGATGTATTTGTGGTTAGGGGGCGCAGCTACAACCCCGTCCAAAACATGTTTTTTTGCATAGTTTTTTTTTAGCAATGTGATATTTACATGTACTGACTGGGCCGTAATAGCCACTCTTTATAAAGTCTGATGGCCAAGAGTTGCGAACGAAAATTATATTTAAAATCTAAATCTTTTTGTATTTCAGACGTTTCGACAACACTGTGCCATCGTCAGTAGGTAATTGATATAAAATATTTCCTAAAGTCGCAAATCACATTTTAAAAATAACATCAGCATTAAGAAATTACACATGGCAATGACATTTCGGTATTTTTACATTCGATCACGTTCGTTCCTCACAAGCGTGCTCCGTTTCAGCAAGGATAATCTGGCTGTCGCTACCACGCTACTGCCATCGTATAAAATCCCCCTCTTGTGTTAAGTGTGTTCTTGGTCTTGATGTGTGCAGCCTCCAGTGCCCTCCTGATATTTTTGTTCATACCTTTCTCTAAAATTTTAGCCCCTTCCCACCTTGGTAAGTGCCCGGCCTCATCCACATGAACCACTATCGCATTACTTAACACGTGCCCCCTCACGTCTCTTCTGTGTTCCCCGACACGGGTACCTAGGCCCCTACCTGTTTCGCCTACATATTGTTTTTCGCAAACAGCGCACGGTATCTGATAGACTATGCTACTTTCGTGATCCTTATCTTCGTCGCGTGCACCTTTTAAAATATCGTCACTTTTGTGTCCCGCACTTATCACCGTCTTGAATCCGGCCTGTCCACCCGTGACGACCAAGGTGTCTTTTTTGCTGATAGCCTCTAGAAAGGTCATCCGAGGTCATTTGAGGCTGCAAACAGATTTTTGCCCATAACTTTCGATTGGAAAGAGATAGAACGCTGGGGATGGTCTCATTGTGTTTGTCTTGCCGAGACGCATCGACTGACATGCAACATGACCTTTTCCGGTCAGGTCATGACCTTGACATGAGGTCAAATTTTCAAGTTGACCTTTCAAGGTCAAATTATAGTTCATTCGATTCGTGTTGAGAGGAACACGATTCTGGCAATAGAAATGTCGTGGCTTTTTTTAGTCAAAAGTTATTGTCGAAAAACACTTCGTAAAAACAGCTATTTTTGGAGTTTTTGCCCTCTGGAGGCTAAACCGTTGACCTGAGGTCAGTTTTGATGATGACCTTATCGAAAGAAGAGTTCAAGAGCTATCGATTGCTTTTCCACACATTTTTCTAACTATCATAGTTCCTGAGATATATGCATGTTTTCTGAAAAATATAATGCCGTTTGGCAAATTTTGACCTTTGATGACCTCCAGTGACCCCAATATTGCTCTAAGATGAAAAATGATCGAAATACTTTCAAACGTACGCATTGAGAACTATCGATTGCTTTTTACCGCGTCTTTCTAGCCCTCTTAGTTTTTGCGTTAGAGGTGGGTGGTAACATATGCCCCCCCCCCCCCCCACTAGGGCGAAGTTGGCTGAGACCGCCACTGGGGCGCGGGTTAATCGAATAATATGCTATATGACCTCCTTCCGGCTAACTTCGTGGCTTGAGCGGCTCTGACCTGATCTTGACCCCGAACAAAAAGTATCCCATCCGACGCGACTGCTGCAACTTTGACCGCCACAAAAAAATGAAGTTCTCGGCTCTGTAGGTAGGGGAGAGCGGGGCCAGTTGAAACACGGGGTCAGATGAAACATGGCTTTATTTTCAACAGTATGCAACATATGGCGTTGCCGACACCACTGCGCATCCGCGCTCGACCACTTCCTTTGTCATCGGCGTTTGGGCGGCAAACGGACGGTAATTTTGATTTGACACTTGTTTTTGTGTTTTTGAGGGGCGTTTGGGAGAAATCGCTTTTATGAATATTTTGTGATATCTCATATACCTTTGTTTGCTGAAAGAAGAACTCCTGGCTCCGGAATAACACCTTATTTGGCCCTTCATTCAGCATGATGCCGTCCCTCCAGCTCGTTTGACATGTGCTTTACGGCGCGTGCGAGATGGCGGGAGCGGATGGGGTCAATTGAAACGCTTCTCTGAGGGTCAGTTGAAACAGGGCCACAGGCCGTTTCAATGGACCCCGGTGACCTTTGCAATGGTTATTGTTCAGGGGCTGTAAACATTAAAGGAAATAATCCACCTTTGAAATGAGCTTTTAAACTGAAATAGTAGTTCAATAGAGCTCAATTTTTTACCCCTTTTTCTCCAGCCTTTTGCTTGAAAGCACACTATAGCCTGAGATATTTCTCATTTTCCTCATCCGCCCATTTTACCATAGTCTATGCACTTTATGTCACCTATTATGAGGAACTTTGCACTTTTAGCTTTCCAACGACCTATTGAATGTAGCATTTGGAAAAGTAAACCGGACAAAATATCTCCTTAAGAAAGTGGCCTTAAAGAGGAAAACATCCCATTGTTAAAGGGACACTCCCACCTTAACATTAGTTTTGAGTTGAGATAGCCAAATTGGTGGCCATGGCCTGCAAATACCGGTTTGGGCACTCACAACATCGAAAAATGCTTTAATTCGAAGATATGGAATTTCAAACTTGCAGTTTTCGGATTCTAAGGGGCTAATGCATTGGAATGCCCCCTTAGAATTTGTGACGTCAGCGGAGATCTAACGATTTTTAAATCTTAGACTAAAACCATCGTTAACACGTGGTGGTATACGCTGCTTTGCGCGCAACGTCTGCCGCACTTTAAGGCTGCCAAATTATTGCTTCCAAATAAAGTCGCTAGTAACAGGGGAGATCCCAAAAAGTAAACAAAAGTAAAAGCCTAATATCTTGAAAACCAGTGAATATTTTTCGGTGAAATTTGGTAGATATTGGTTTTCGCTCTTTCTGAACCAAGGGACATCACTTTCATGCCAATTCATTAACTTTTTTGAAGGTGGGAGGGTCCCTTTAAGGATAGGTGCAATTGACCCCATGGGCTGGTTCAATTGACCCTCGCATCGGGGTCATTTGAAACGGGCGTAGAGCTGTTTTATAAGCATGCGTTTGGCAGCAAAATATGTTTGAAACATAATTTTACATATCTTAAAATAAAGCCAAAAGAGCATATTTTTTCATGGCATTGGGCATTTTTCGATATGACAACTATATCTCGCTGTGCATGTCAATATATAAAAAGTGGTTCAACTGGCCCCGCTCTCCCCTATTCGACGCGCACCAGACCACGGGCCCAACACATCCAAACGCACTCAGCCGGCAGACCAGAGACAAAAGACGCATAAACAAAGTGAAAACAGCCGAAATCAACTTGGTACAATTAACGTGAAGGATCCTTACTCTTCAAACCAAAATGGCATGAAACACAGGTACCAAATACGCCAACAACACTACCTAAACCACTGCAATAATTTGAATAACTAAAAACGTGGTAAAACTAAATACACATCAGCGTCTAAGTAATGAAAACATGGTGATGCTTAAGTTACGGTTCTGCGGCCATTTTTGGCGAAATAATATAACGAAAACCGAACCTGCGCTCTTAGGTACTGAAACTTAAGCTGCGCTGTCAGCTCAGGTCACTGACCTATGACGTCATAGTGAACATAGCACGGTCCTCAGATGTCGCAACTTCGCAACGCCCTCAGTACCAGAGGAAGTTTCACAGGGAAATGAAACTTACAGGATGTAGTATCCTCCAGATTTCTCACAACTTCTGTCTCGGATTTTTCGTTAAGATCACATGAAGTCAGGTCGGTCACGTGACCCCACCAATGGGAAAAATGAAAACCAGTGTTTCATTTTTCAGCCTTTTTGGTGGCAAATCACACCTAATGGGGAAAATATTTTCATCCCTAAAATATGAATGACCGACTTTACTTCATCTTTGAAAAGAGTTTCATGTATTCCCAACAGCCAGTTCACTTGTCACTTGACAGTTGATGCACCCACATCCTTTTGTTCCACACCCTGTCAAGATCCTGACGTGAAATCCTGGTTTATCAGTTAGCATAAAAATTGGCATTACACCATTTTGCAAAAATACTGCAGTTATTTACTTTCTTTTTTCTCATCCTAGGATTTTTTTTCTTCATCGGCACACCCAACCAATATCCAATTTTAGAACACTGATGAAAACTGCTATTTTAGCGCCGGTAACTATCTATAAATATCTCAAGCACACGGAATCGTGATTCCTTGCACTCCTTGCAAGGTCCAATGCTTCACTTTTGCATTATTGACCTTGCGTGACGTCATTTAATGACCCTAGAGTTTTTCGTTAGTAACTTACAATCAAGTTCATCTAGCGAGTCAGGAAAGCCACCAATGGACTCAGGGAGACCTGCCGAATCGAATAATGTTATGTGACATGACCTCCTTCGACCAACTTCGTGACATGGGGGGGGGCGCTGACCTGACCTGGACCAGAGGTCAACACCTCAAGTTGACCCCACCCAAACAAAAAGTATCCCATCGACGCGCCTGAGCAAGGCGAACACGATGGTGCCGAAATCGCGGTTCTGGGACCGTTTTTTAAAGCCCTTTATGAAAAACTGAACCCATTCCCTGGGTCACTTGACCTGACCCAGAAGTCACCGGTTGACGGGAGGCCTTGAAATCGGGTACCAGTCACTGGTAACGGCGCACACGCTCGTTTTTTTCCGCAACGCTCTGGCTCCATCAGGGGTGAAACTTCATTGACTCATATAACATCAAATGCGCTCAGCCTGTCCGGTTGCTCAGTTGGTAGAGCACCAGACTCACGGTAGTGAGAGCCCGGGTTCGAGTCGCTCCGGCGCTCGATATTTTAGACTCCTGACGGGGATGGTCTGCGGTTGGTGGGAGCAGCCGCAGCCAGTGGAAGTCGGTTGAGTGGGACGGACCGTGTCCGGCTTTGACGGCGCGTTACTTTGGCATCTAAATTCTCCGTCACCCGGCATTGCGCGATCGGACGGTAGGAGGAGTCGGGGTCTACGCAACAAGCTCTGCTTAGCGCGGGCTCCGGCTCTGTCAATCCGTTCATTCAAATATTCGAGCTAAATCTATCAAAAATAAAATGTATAAAAAGAAACGTTTACTTATTCGTTACGTTGCTCAGCATCATATTCTTCACGATGATATTTGGGTGTCCGTCAAAATTCGTGGAGATATGCTGTCCCACGATTTCAATAATGCCTCACGTCTATAAATGAGCTTATTTCAGCGTAACACGGGTCCGTACGCGAGATTTGGACATTCGATTGAAGAAAAAAAATCATTGAAAAGGCAACAGCAAAGTGGCAAAAACAAATTTGAACATCTTTCCAAAACCGTGCTTTTGTGTGCCTATGTATTTTAGCTTGTCCCACAACCTGCGAAAAAATTCTACAGAGCTGCTGTGTAGTTATTTTTAGAGATAATTGAGCGCGAGGGAGCGTTGTGAATAGCAAAAACATTGAAATTTCTCTTCATGGTTCTTATTTTTTGGTTATACAATTTAGCAAAACTGCTCAACGCAAAAACGTCTGTCCCACGGTTTTTGGCAAACTTTTTTTCTGGGTCACGTTTGTTTCTGGGTCACGGTACTTAGCTCCTCATTCAAGGCATTACGGACCGGGTAAGCAGGGTCTGCAGACTTGCATATGGTCCTATCCCGCGACGGCGCAGAGAGCGGGAGCGGAAACTGAAAACTGTCAGTTGGGCTGGGCGAACCCAGGGGAAATCATCTCCTGCGTGCCATAAGATTTCTTTATTCTGGGTCACACGCCCTTGTGGCTTGTGGCTGGTAAGTGTCGAAAAGAATCACAGTGTCGTGTTGCTGCGTGCTCAGGTACTCCAGATAAGATGTACTTGGAGATTAGTATTCGATAACAAACTTGCCATATTCGGAAAACTGTAAAAAAAAAACATTCCTTTGGGTCACGCATTTTTTTCTTCTGGGTCACGAATTTTAGCGTGACCCAGAAGAGAAATTCTGCCCACCTTCATCATCAAGACATGCAAGTCTTTCCGCCTACGTGTGGAGAAGGTCATTGCCGATAAGGGGGTTATATCGCGCATGAGGTGAGTGAACGTATCTGGTTTGATAATGCGTGACCCAGAAGAAGAAAAATTTCTGGGTCACGGACCATTTTACGCGCATGCGCAATGGCATTTATGAATAATTTCAACTGTGAACAGCCTAGGGTGCATGGTTTATGAAAAGGTAATGATTTCTAGGAAATCAGTTGTGGGGCAAATATCGACCCAAACCTCCACGAATTTTGACGGGTACCCATTTGGGCATTTGATATGCTATTGCTGAGTGATGGTTACCACCCTGAGGGCCTGTTTCTGGTTTGTTCAGTACACGGCGACTGTGAGGCGTCATTTGTGCGCCTCTAACGCGGGCTTCGCGCAGCTGACCTCCGCCCGGCCCCCGCTCCAGCTGACCTCTGCCCGGCCGGGCTCCGTCCCTGTCCTACCTGTGCCCGCCCTCCAGCCCTGTCTCCGCTGACCTGTGCCCCCCTCGGGCCCTGTCCAACTGACCTCTGCGCCTGTCTCCGCTGACCTGGTCCCGCCCTCCGGCTCTGTCCCAGCTGACCTCTGCCTCTGACCCCTCCGTCCCTGTCTCAGCTGACCTCTGACCCCTCCAGCCCTGTCCCAGCTGACCTCTGACCCCTCCGGCCCCTGTCTCAGCTGACCTCTGCCTCTGACCCCTCCGTCCCTGTCTCAGCTGACCTCTGACCCCTTCGGTCCTGTCTCAGGTGGCGCTGATGACCGTGTTCGTCCTGCCGTTCCGCATCATGGGCGTGTGCCTGTGCGTGCTCATCGGCTGGATGTTCGCCTGCATCGGCCTCTACGGAATGACCGAGGAGGAGCGAAACCAGCCGCTCAGAGGCTGGCGCAGGTCAGGCCCTGGCGGCATTACACCTTTTCTCGGCGCCGCGCCACGCCTCCCTGGCTGAGTTGGTGTGATGGTGTCCATCATACATCTGTCTTCCTATAGCCCTTGGTTCTAAGCCATCCTTACCCTTGCTTAAAGTTGGGCAACTAATGCTCTAACATAATGTTTGTCATCTTAGGTTTATAGGAATGTTGTCAAGGGGACGATGTCTTATTTCTGAATTCAAGTGGTTTCTCGCTCGAAGAAAATGTTTTGTTGCGACAGATCTCCCCGGCTGCCCATGGTGTCATTGGTTGTCTGTGTGTCTGTCTGTATGTCTGTCTCTCTGTCTGTCTGTCTGTCTGTCTGTGTGTCTGTATCGGCGCCCTCCCCTCTGCCGGTGACTGACAGGCGGCTGCGCGTGGTGCTGTTGCTCTGCACCCGCACCGTGTTTTTCTCGGCCGGCTTCCCGTGGGTGACGGTGCGCGGCCGGCGCGCCTCGGCGCGCGACGCGCCCATCATCGCCGTGGCGCCGCACTCGAGCTACTTTGACGTGCTGCCCGTGATCGTCATGGCGGCGCCCAGTGTGGTGGCCAAGATCGAGACGTCGCGCGCCGCCATGTTTGGCAGTAAGCTGCTCCGCCGGCGGCCTGCTCGCACCCCTCCTCTCTCTGTCTCTCGCCAGGCTCTGCTCTCTCCCGGTTCCTAGCCACATTCAGTTTCACTCTCCCCTTTTTGAGTTCCTCTGTTTGCTTCTTTCCACATAATGATCCAATCCCTACGTTGTTTTTTTTATGAATTATCGACGTTTAATTTCTCTCCGTTGTACCTTTTCACCTATCCAATCTAAATCCTATGTTTTCCCTTTCATTTTGTTTTCATCCATTTTATCCCATTTATTCTGTTTCTCTTTTGGTTCCATCGCGTCCCTCAGAGAACCTGAATTGATTCATCCTGTAGGCTTTGTTGTTTCTTCTCGCATTTCCAGTTTTCCTGACTCATTTAGCAGCGAATCTTTCGCTATCTGTCATTCCTTCCTTGCTTTGCAGTCGGTGTAGTCTTGTGGGGATGGCGCTTGCTATAAATGTAACTTTCTGTCTGTATTCCGTCTTCGGTGTCGTTCGTATCACTGTCGAGCAATGTCGTTGTTACCTGTTTTCGATATTACCATCAGCTGCATCCAATCGATCCTTGCCATTCAGAGTTCCCGCTGGTGGCCTAACTGCGAGTTAATCTGATCTTTCTATCACCTGAACACTTCTTCGTTTGTGCTGTTTTATATCCACCTCTCTATTTCTGTCCAATTTCTATACGCCGGTCAGGTTACTCCGCGGCTCCGTTCCGATACGACCGAGTTTGTTCCGTCGGTCCATGCTCCTCCTCCCCCGACCTCCCTCCTCACCCCGCCGGGAGAGCGGCACACGAGGCGGGCGACGGGTCGGGCGCACCGCGGGCGGCGACGGGTCGCAACGGGACGCAGTAGCGGGCGGGCACTCACCGAGTCCAGACTCAGCGGCCGCCCCCGCCCCCGCCCCCGCCCATGTCCGGACCCCGGCCCGCGCGCCCGCCCGCCCACTCACGCCGCTCGCACGTCCAGACATTGCATGCCATGTCCGGCTTTCTTCTGTCTGTGCTGTGACGCGGGCTGGAGCTTGGCTGGACCCAACTGCTAGTAGACTGCATATACGGTCCTTGTCTGCATGTTCTCTATTCTGTACATGTGCTGATGCGCATGCCTGTCCGTCCGTTTAGTACTTATTTACCGCATTTGTAACTGAGCTGGTGGACTTTGTACCAGCCAAACAGCGAAGCCCAAAGGTGCGATTCTGGCCGTCAAAAGTCGGCCGTCTTGGCGGGCAGTTTCAAACGGTGAGAGCACATCGTTTGGTCGATGGCCTGAGGGTGAGAGTACGTCGGCCGGGAGGTGTGAGCAGGTGAGTCGCGCTGCAGGGGAAGGCGGTGGCGGCCGCGCGGGCGGCTCTCGCCGGCCAGGGCGCACGGCCGGTCGCGCGGGCCGCTGTCAGAACGGCCGGTCACCGCCGGGCTCCGGACTTTTCCCACCCATCCCGGAGTGCAGCGGAACCCGTGTGCTGTATCTAGCGTCCACTAACCGAGTCAGACCGCGCCCGTGGCAGGAGCGGCGTCCCGCAGCGCTTGCCTTGTGTGGTGAGTGGCGCCCGGCTGCCTGCCGGTGCCCGGTCGCCGCCGGGCCGGCCCGATCCCAGCCCACCCTTCCCCACCGGTGGTGGTACCCGGTGACTAACAGCGCGCGGTGGCCGCATGTCACACCGCCGCCCAGTCCGTCCGTCTCTCTTTCTCCCTCCCTCGCGCTGTTTTTGTTTCTCTCTTTGTTTCTTTCTGCGCTGATCGTCTCGGTCCTGTCTGCGCGCCGATGCTCGGTGCTCCGTCCCTGCTCCGCCGCCCCTCCCTCCCCGTGGCCGTGCGTCTGGACCGGTGGAGGTGTCCCGCCCGCCGCCGCCGCCGCCGCCGCCGGCCGCCGAGCAGTCAGTCTAAGCGTGCCGTCACCCACTGGAGCCGGACGCGCCGCCGCCGTGGATCGTGACGTAATTGTCGCTGTATGATGGTCTTCCGAACTCGACCAGCGCTCGTCGAGCCCACCGCAGGCCGAGGGGTCAGTTCGACCTCCTGGCCGGAGCGCTAGCGCCGCCGCTGACTCGCCGTCCGGCCCTCCGCAGCACCATGCGCGAGCTTCAGGCGCTGAACGCGCGCGTGGCCTACTACCTGAGCGGCTGGGTGATCCGCATCCGCGGCACCATGTCGCGCGAGGCGCCCGTTCTGGTGGCCGCGCCGCACTCCACCTTCGGAGACGCGATCGTGCTCTTCTGCTCTGGCCTGCCGTCCATCATCTGCCGCAGCGAGACGATCGGCATGCCGTTCTTTGGCAGTACGTTGGACAGAGGAAGCTGAGACAGGGATAGGTGGCCGGCTCTCCGCGATGCTGGGGATTGGGCTGCGGGACTGGGGTGGCTCGGGTAGCGTCATAGTTGGTGATGGAAGATCCAGGTAGCACCGCAGGTTGCCTTTAATCGTCTCGCCCCTTAGCTGATAACAGCACAGCCAAGATTTATTTACTCAAGTACAGCTATTGTTGGTTTAACTTCATATACATATCATGGATATTCGGTAGGCTATTTAGTTTCGTTATGATCGTCTGATCTGCTGTTCTAGTGTCCGCCGATCTGGACCCGTATAGCCATGTCCTGAGTGTGAGTTGGGTTAGAGACCACCGAAAGGCGAGACCCCAGCTCCCAGCGCGCCGCGGCCGGGCGGCGGCGAGCGGGCACACGAGCTCGGCGCGGCAGAAGGTAAGTGGGGGCGGACGTCCGAGGGAGGAAGCCGGGCCGGAGTGAGCCTGCCACGGGGCTGGATAGGCTAGTCGCCTCGCTGGGTGGCTGACGGGCGAGTCTGTACTCCGGGCCGGCCGGTGTGAGAGGAGCTGCCAAGTGCCACCGGCTGGGACTGGTGCTGCGGGGGTACTCCTCCGCAGCTCTAATACCGGCGGTGGGCGCCTCAGGGTAAGTTTTGTAACGCTTTGGGTGATCGGTGTGAACACGCGTACCACACGAGGCGTTAATTGTGCCACATGTCACGTAGAGTACGCCTTCTTCACCACTGACTGCCCTCATCTTCAATGTCCACGCAACTTGCGACCCGCTCGGCGCTTCGGGTGAGCTTGGTAGAGTAGTGGCTCGTCGGGAGGGGTGGCTGGTTAATGGGTGGCACCCTATGCTACTGGTTTGAAGTCTATGTGTGTTTTGTACTTTCTTTGTTATAAATTGTCCAGTCGTTTATTTGTGCTGAACCTGATTGCACGAGAAGTCTCGCAAAAATGATACGCGTAACTAATTGAATTACATCGTAACGCAATATCTTGATGTCGATCGATTAAAGCCTACTTTTGATGACATGTCTTTTCGATAAGTTATTCATATAGGGACAGCTTCCTATTATTGTTCTACCGTTCCCCTCGTTCCCGGTACGCTCGGCGGCGCGAGCAGCCCCGCCGTCTACATGACGCCCCGTCTGTGCCGCGCCTCCAGAGCTGATCGACTACACCCAGCCGGTGTACGTGTCGCGAGAAGACCCCAACTCGCGCCAGAACACCATCCGCGAGATCCAGCGGCGCGCTCACAGCAACGGCCAGTGGCCGCAGGTGAGCCGTGCGCATCATCCGGCCGTTCGTCCGTTCGTCTGTGCGTGCGGGCGGGCGGTTATTCGTTCGTTCGTTCGTTCGTTCTTTCGTTCGTTCGTTCGTTCATTCATTCATTTGTTCGTTTGTTCGTTCATTCGTTCATTCGTACGTACGTACGTTCGTTCGTTCGTTCGTTCGTTCGTTCGATCGTTCGTTCGTTCGTTCGTTCGTTCGTTCGTTCGTTTGTTCGTTCGTTCGTTCGTTCGTTCGTCCGTCCGTCCGTCCGTCCGTCCGTCCGTCCGTCCGTCCGTCCGTCCGTCCGTCCGTCCGTTCTCGTTTGTTTGCACGTGGTTGCGTGCATTTGTTGGTCCGTTCGTTCGTTCGTTCGTCCATTTGTTCATTCATGCATTCATTCGTTCATTCATTCATTCATTCATTCATTCATTCATCATTCATTCACTCATCAATGTTTTCTCGTAGCTATGCAAAACTGAGGAAAATTGTAACCAAGGATCGTAGAGAAATGAAGTCCTACCTGTTTAGAGACACTTGAAGCAAATGCAGTAATTAAACGAGCAAAGAACTGCTTGTTGCCGGGTATATTTATACATACGGCCCGTCGAACTGGTGAGCTATGGTGCCGGTAAACCAGGCGCCGATGGGTGGCTATCTGAGAGGGTAGGGCCTTGGCGACGCCGGCTGCTCGGTACCGAAATAGAGACCGGCTGCTAGCTGACCCCGTGCCGCCGTTACACGCGGCTCCGTGGCGTGTAATCCCGCAGATTGGGACCGAAATAAAAGGACGCCATTTAATTGCGTCCCAGAAAAGCTATTTCTGGCACCTAAAAGCTGACTCGCCCCAAAATTGGTCCTCAGCACCTATTTGGTGGATACCAGCACCAATCATGGAAAATGACCTTAATTAGCTGTTTCTGGCACCTATTCATCGGTACGCCTTATTCTTTTTTCTGAATCTGGCACCTAAATGCTGAGCGTAGCACCAATCTAGTAGAAAAATGAACTACTGGCTGGTAGAATCATGTTGTTCTGGTATAATGACCGCTGGAGTCTAGCCTAAAGGTTGCCAGTGCAGCTACACTCTAAGACAGCCCCGTAGTGATCTCAGCATTGTATATGACGTTTAAGTAAGCAAATAATATTAATTTGTTTGAAAAACAATGTCATTTAAATATTTAAAAGCATTTATTTGTAATGCTTAAAGGGAAACATTTTTGTTAGTAATTGTCTCGATTTCGACCATTAAAACGGGTATTGTATTTTTTGACGTCATCAAATAGCTCCAAAAAAGAAATGTAATGTTTTCATTCCGTTCAAGGCCGCTGAAGAAACGCGGGATCTTGCGTGGGACATTGTCCGTTGTTTGCCGCGCAGAGTTGTGCCGTGGTTGTGCCTTTTTCATCCGTTTCTTACGTATGGCATGTGTGCACGAAGCTTTGATTTTGTTTTTGGTTATTGTGTGGCCGGTCAGTCAAACGCCCCTGTAGAAACCGGATGCTGCGTTTGATCGAGATGGAGTCAGACGATGATTGCAGAAAGCTAATAATATTGAAAAGAAGGCCGGTTGTGTGGCATGTCTGTTCAGAGTTGACATTTTGCTTTACTCCAGTTTATGACCTGAGAGCCTGGCTGGAAGTGACGGATCCAAACTTGTCACGTTAAAATGGCTGAGGGTGCAATAATCTCTAGTCTACATAGCGGGCTGGAATTAGGAGCGTCTTGCTATGCTGCACCATAGCTGGCTAGTGATTCTCTTTTGGCTAGAAATGGCATTAATCATTATCTCCACTGGCGAAAATGGCACTTGACATCACCGAATGCAACGTTCATGTTGTTAGGATACATAAAATCAGGAAGATTACGCGAATTAGGTAGGCAAACGTGGAATAAAATCTAGGTGCTGGATGTTTTGGTTTTGGTGCTGAATCAGCAAACAGCAAATACGGAGTTCAACTAGACGATCTGGCAACTTTAGGCTGTGTGGAAGCAATTAGGTGCCAGATTCAGATATTAGGGTCGAATAAGCATTTTGGGGCTGATCAGCAATTAGGTGCCAGAAACAGCTTTTTAGGGACCAGAAACAAATATTCCCCGAAATAAAAGCCGACGGCTAGCTGACCACGTGCGGCCGTTTGTGGTGTGTAACCCCCCGGACACACTGCACCGGCACGCGTCCGAACTTTACCGCTAGTCGCAAAACAATTCACGTTTTTAGGTAGGTGAGTAAAAATGATCCATCTAGGATTGATGTTAAGCTAAATAGACGGTATTTGTTTGATGGTGTTTGAAAAGCTTACAGGCGAAGTCACAGCTCATTTCCCGCCGTTCGGTTCGGCCCTGTAAATGTTGACGTTATCATTCTATGGGGGATCCCCAGAATCTCAGCTGTCGCTGGTGTTCAGTTTGTTTTCTTTAGTCCCTTCCCCGACGCCCGTGCCGTCGCTGTCTCGGTCCCGATGTCGCCGCGGCTCCGCTGTGCAACAGCCGGCCCCATGGCCCCCCCGCTGTGACTCAGCGGTCCTATCGACGCCCGCGCGATCCCCACCCTCCACCGCCGCCGCGGCGCGGACGGGACGGGACGGGACGGTCACCACTGTTTGCACGACTCGTGTCGACCCAAACCAGCGGGGTCAACTGGCCGCCGCGCTGCCTCCGCCCGCGACCCTGGCCCTGTTTCACCGGTGATAGCAGCACGCCACTATCAAATTGCGCGAGCTGACGTAATGTGATGACGTCATACTGCTGACGTAAGGGGCAATTCTGGCGCACGATTGCCGCAATATTGTTTTACGTCATCAGCTAAATGTTCGAAGTTAATGTCCAAATTTTTCCTAAACCCAACTTCTTTTAAATACATCATATTGAAAAAATATATATCAAAAATATATATACTATCATGACTGCGTAAACTCTTACTTTTAGGCTCATACGTCACTTAATGCCGCCGCCAAGGTCGCGGCAATCGTGCGCCGGAACTACCCATTACGACAACAGTATGGCGTCACGACAAGACGTCAGCTCGCGAAACGTGATTCACCGGTGAAACAGGGCCCCTGTCCTGTATGTAATTAGATAGACGATGTCACAACGTTTTCAGAGGGCAGAAGATACGCACGAGGGTGGGAAGTGACGGGGATGTTATAGCCGAAACGTAGCGATGAGTTAGTTTTTCTCTCTCGACTTTCCACTAGCTTCTTTGAAATGTGTTGCACTTAACGAGCTAGCCTGGAAAGTTACCTCGTGAACGCTTGAAATTCAGTCCGGTCAGTGCTGCAGTATGTATTATGTAGTGGCTTCCATCGAGTATTTGAAAGTTTTGCAAGTGTGCAGGAGCCATTATCTGCAGTGGTTGTTCCCATTAAGGGCTCCTACATGGTGTCAAGCACAGTGCATATGAATAACTAGTGTCAAGTACCATATGACGCATGTGGTGTCTATGTGTCAGTATCATGAAGCCCTTTCTCGTGACCACATTGCTACCGCCGTATAGTGATACCGTTGTGCGCTATGTCTACCGCTTTGCATCAACTAGCGGTTGAGTTCTGCCGCCGACCCGGTCCTGCTGAGCCCGCGCTGTCCGGTGCAGCCTGCTGCCCCGCGCTGTCCGGTGCAGTGTCCGTACGCTGTTCGTACCGGTCCCGGAAGCATACGCTATTCTTTATTTACGAGTCTCCCCACTCGTCCTGTGCGGTGACCCCGCCCCTCCTCCCCCTCTCACGGCATTGTGGGCGTGTTTCGTCTGACCTGTCCCGGCTCTGGTCGGTGCTGTCTGTGTGATCTGTATGTCTGGTGTCGCAGTCGTGCGCTATTCGCCAGTATCCGATACAGGGCTGCGTAATGTGGCTCCGAGTCTGCCTGTGGCTGTCAGTCGCCCTGTGGCCGTCTCGGCCCGTCCCCAGCCGTCCGGCGGCGGCGGCGGCCCGTCCCCAGCCGCCGGGGGCGGGGCTCGCCGGCCGGACCACAGTGGCGCCACGGCCGGCCCGCCGCGTGCCAGCCGCCCGCCGGAGGGGGAACGGGGAGGGGGAGGGCGTGCCAGGTGCGATCAGCATCAGCCAACCGGCCCGGCCACATGGCGCCGCGACGACCCACCGTTCAGACCGCGGAAACGGCCGATTACGCCGGCTCCCTGTAACGGTCCCGGGCTTCAAATGCATGATATGATTAGCCGCGGTTGAGCTTTTTGTGATGAGCGATAGCATATGATGAAACTTGTCTTCTCTCTGCCGTTCTTGATACCCAATGGTCGTGATCTTTGCCAATTTACGCGAATAAAATGCTCAGTTTTAACATAATTTTCTTCCATTCTCTTATCTTCTTTCTTTTCTTCCTTCCTTCCTTCCTTCCTTCCTTCCTTCCTTCCTTCCTTCCTTCCTTTATCTCTTCATGACCACTTCCTTTCATTTTGCCTTTCGATTGATAGCAGTAACCCGACTGCGTCATCCTCTCGTTGTTTTCACTGATGAAATTTTGTGTAGTGTCGTTTACTGTTATGCGACCCTTTTCTGAACTCGCGTTATAACACGCTATGGAATGAGCACGTGACAGCGAACGGCAGGCCATATCCGGTTGTTTGAGCTGTCTCGATCCTCATATCTAATCTCTGTTGACCGCCTACATCACCGCTGCATGTCACGTAGTTTCACTGCGGCATATGCGCATCAGCCCTCTCCCTCCCCCAGCTGGCGTGATAACGCGGCCACCCCGACCAGCTCGCGTCCAAACATGTCCTCTTCCCGCGCCGTCTGTCCGCCCGTCTGACCGTCTGTGTGTGTGTGTGTGTGTCTGCTGGCAGATCATGCTGTTCCCGGAGGGCACGTGCACGAACCGCTCGTGTCTGATCCAGTTCAAGCCGGGCGCCTTTTACCCGGGCGCGCCCGTGCAGCCCGTGGTGGTGCGCTACCCGAACCGACTGGACACGGTCACATGGACCTGGGAGGGGCCCAACGCGTGAGTGACGCTCTGGCAGAGGGAGGGGAGGGGCCCAACGCCGGGGTGACGCTCTGGCGGGGGTGGGGGTGGGGGGTTGGGGGGTGAGCGTGAGTGCCACTGGCCGAGGGATGGGAGGGTGGTGCTGATGGGGGGAGAGGGAGGGCAGCATGGACGGGTTTTTAGAGAATTAATAGTGATGGGAGATGGGGTTCTTTCTGATTTAACTCCCAATCTGTGATAGTTTTGAAGGATGTAGTTATGTAGGTCTGTGCTTACCTCTCTCAGATGCTCGACCAGCGTGCTTACTTCACAATGTCCTTATACCAGTTAATCTAGTTCACGCATATTCGTTTTTCTTTTGAAGTGTCGCTTCCTCGAACTGTGAGCTTCCGTACGGCCTCTTTGAGTTTCAGTCGCTTGGGTGCGGCACATTCATGGTATGTCGTGCGCTGATTGTGACCGGGCCTGCGGTGCTCCGTGAACCCATCAACTAATGCTCAGCTCGGCAGTCAGCTCGTACAGGAAACCTTATCAAGCTCGCCGAATTATGTCGCATGAGATCACCGGCTCTGGGTCTGCCTCAGAAGGCAGGGGGGGGGGGATGGAACGGCTTGCTACTAATTCTGAGAACGTTATCGTCGTGTGCTGACTGTACTGGCTTTGTCCGGATGTTTGGCACTAACTAATATTTGCCATTCGTTGACATATGGCATGGTATCAGTGAGTCAATGGTGCATTAATTCCTCCCCCGTCAGTGCTCTAGTAACGCCATGCTGAGTCTTCCATTGAAAAGTTTTTTTTCTGGATTGTTGCAGGATTCTCCTATATTGTTGGTTAGCGCCATCCTTCCTCCGTGGATGGGTTGTCTGCAGGGACTGGATGTCGGGCCGTCCGCTGACCGCTGCTGTCCGGTACCGACAGGTGGCACATCCTCCGTCCGCTGACCGCTGTTGTCCGGTACCGACAGGTGGCACATCCTCCGTCCGCTGACCGCTGCAGCTGTCCGGTACCGACAGGTGGCACATCCTCCGTCCGCTGACCGCTGCTGTCCGGTACCGACAGGTGGCACATCCTCCGTCCGCTGACCGCTGCAGCTGTCCGGTACCGACAGGTGGCACATCCTCCGTCCGCTGACCGCTGCAGCTGTCCGGTACCGACAGGTGGCACATCCTCCGTCCCCTGACCGCTGCTGTCCGGTACCGACAGGTGGCACATCTTGTGGCTGACGCTGACACAGTTTGTCAGCTTCTGCGAGATCGAGTACCTGCCTGTGTATATTCCCAACGAGGAGGAAAAGAAAAACCCGCGCCTCTTCGCCAACAACGTCCGCGCCAAAATGGCTGAGTGAGTAGTCAGTAGTCACCAACTTTACGACATTAGGGCTGTCGGAAGGCATGATACTCGGGGCGCATAAATGGCAGAGTGAGCAGCCACTTCACGACATAAGGACAGTGAAGTAGACATACTCTGTTATAGTCTATATATGCGCCAAACTGACTGATTGAGTAACGATTCCGCTTGGATTCGAAGTCGTTGGATAAGGCGCTACCAGTTTTTATCACGTCGAAAAAAAAGGTGGGATAACCCGCTATGGGTTTCTGATTTTTATGGTGTGACGCGACTTTTAACCCGCGCCCTGCTGGGGGGGGGGGGGGGTTTGAACACCCCCCCTTGTGGTTTTTCGCGAATATCTCAAAAACGGTTTCTGGTACACCTTATCATACATCAATTCTACACATGTTGTGAAAATTTCAGACCAAGGTCATTCAAGGTCAGGTCACCAGGTCACTTGAAGTGACCTCACCTCATAAAAAGTTTCAATGTCTGCCATAGCTACACCGAGTGACCGATCGCTTTGAAACTTTCAGCGATTGCTAAGAGCAATAGCATGTACAAAATGTATATCTCAGAATTTTGATATCGATGACCTAAGGTCAGGTCAATTTTGCGACCTCCCCATTATAAGTCAATTGGAGAAAATTGAAATGCGCATCTTTTGGACGAAAGACATTATAAACACTCCCAAACACTGAATTACAAGTGGTTTAGACACACTGAACATGAAAATGGTGTCCGTGACCCCTGTTTATGCCCTGAGGTCATCTTAGGTCACGAATGGTATCTAACAGTTTTTCGCAAATAACTTTTGATAGAGGCATGCTAGAGCGATGAAAACGCCTTGTGTTGTTGATGTGTTCAGCTCGACGATACGGATCGACTGATATGCAACATGACCCTTTCCGGTCAGGTCATGACCTTGACCTGAGGTCAAATTTTCAAGTTGACCTTTCAAGGTCAAGTTATGGTTCATTCGATGCGTCTTGACGAGAGGAACACGATGCCGGTGAAAGTACATAAGTTCGCACAAGGCTTGGGTCAAAAGTTATTGCAGAAAAACTGTTTCCGAAATAATCGGTTATTTTAACAGTTTTTGCCCCCTGCAGGCAAAACCGTTGACGTTAGGTCAAATCTGAGAAAATTATTCAGAAAGGGCGTTAATAGGGCTATCGAATGCGCTTTTCCGCGGCGCTGTAGCTCTATTGGTTCCCGAGTTATGCGTTGGCTTCTTGGAAATTGTCGACATTCGACCTGAAAATCGGCGAAATTTTGCCTTCAATGACCTCTGGTGACCTGACCTTTGACCTGACCAAAAAATTGACCGTAGTGATTTCCTCATTATTTTTGACGCTCTTTCGAACGCCGCCTTCCGCGTATCGCTACGTGGCCCAGGAGCCGAGTTAGAAGGGGGGTGTTCAAACACCCCCCCCCCCCCAGCAGGGCGTGGAAATCCAGGACCCCCAGCCGGGCGCGGGTTAATGGGAGCTTCCTTAACCTACGAGTTCACAATGCCCAAGTACAGTTCACTGTTTGTAAACAGATCATTGTATTGTTTGTAATATCAGCAGTGTTTGTGAACACGTCTCTTTATTTTCCTGCACTGAAGTAAGCCGGTCACATCGCCACTAGTGGGGCCCCTGACTGCTCACCACACATAACGTGCGTTGTTGTGACCGGTTTTTGTTGCATCAGGCTCCCTCTCCCCTTTAACCCTCGCATGTGTAGGGGGGGGGTCGGATGGACCCCCCCCCCCCCCATGGTTTTTCGCGAATAACTCGCGTAAAAAGCGGCCGATCGCGACGAAACTTTCAGTACCCTCGCATTGATCAATTTGACACCTACCCTGAAAATTTCATGACCCTGACCCAAATGACCTTTGACCTGTGACCTCTTTTCCGAGACCATGTTTGGCCGGAATCGCGATTTCGCGTATGTCGGCTCGCACTAGCCGCGTGTTTGCAAGCTTTTCGTGGTTTCAAACGTTCAAACATGTGATTTGATGTTACTCCCGTCTGTGTCAAGGTCACCTGAGGGTCAGGTCAGGTCATTGACCTTTGGTGACCTCGGATGACCTCGGGTCACTTTTTCGAGTTTTACATGTTTCTAGGCTAGTTTTTGGAGCTGAATTCGAATTTAGCAACCATTTGAACATTTACGAAGTAGTTTTGGTGACTTCGTAACATGTTACGAAGCTGTCAGAGGCGGTTGACACGTACTACGAATACCCGTCACGACGCCTACTGGTTGACCTGACCTGACCTGACCCGACCTGGTCTAAATGCTTCAAGACATCATCTGTGATCAAAACTAACACGATATTCGTGATCAGCACCCCGAAAAAAACCCTTAGCACCCACACTTTACGACTTTCTAACAGGTCCCGATTTTCCCGACTTTGGGTCATTGACCTGACCTGGAAGGTCAACCAATGACCTAGGACCTTAAAATTGGGTATCATCGGCTTCCTCTCGTCACGGGCAACACGCTCGTTTTTTCCGCGAAGCTCTAGCTCGATCAGGGGCGAAACGGCAAGGGGGGGGTCCAACCGACCCCCCCCCCCCTACACATTAGAAGCTGGCAAACGCCGCACACATGCGAGGGTTAAGATGGTGTTACGATAGGCGAGCCGTGTCCTCTGATAGGGCGAGGTCACGGTCGGTCAGAGCTCTCAGCGGCGCTATGAGGGTCCGTATCAGCTGTGTCCACACTGCCCGCGTCTTTATATTTAGCGATTGTCTGGCTGCACATGTACCTACCATACATCACACTCACGTTTGTACCCTGTCTGCGGCTGATAAGAGTGCCGGCGAGTGACGGTTATGTCCCGATAGCTGACAAGTGCTCCCAGTGCTCATGACATATGGTTGGCGATACTGAGTGACCTTGCTGACTTGCATCGAAGGTCGCAGCTTAGTCATTCATGGCGATGAAAGAAGGAGCTATTTTCAACGCTTCCGGCCTGAAAACATGCCACAACTTGTTCAAGTGTGAGCGCAGCTAGTGCACCAAAAACTTGCTGCAACTCGTACCTATGAGAACGTGCTAAAACACGGCCCATGCTGCCCATGTATCGTCCTCCACTGTCCTTTGTGGGAGAATGTTTTGACCTCTGTCAGCTTTTCGATATTGACGTTATGGGAAATTTAACTTCCGCTTGAGTCAATCCACTTCAGGCTAGGGCAGGCTTCTAGCGTGCAGGCAGCTCTCCGCCGCTGAATCTGTCATGTCGACATCTTCAGAAGACGTGCCTTATACATAATGAAACAGCCCATGTGTAGGTGCGCCAGGTATATGTCTGACTCCCCTGTGTCCGTCCGATAGGGCGCTGGGCGTTCCGGCTGACCCCCCCCCCCGCTGTCCGTCCTTAGGGCGCTCGCGCTGGGCGTCCCGGCTGACCCTCCCCCCTGTTTGTCCTCAGGGCGCTGGGCGTTCCGGTGACCGACTACACGTACGACGACTGCCGGCTGATGAGCAAGGCGCGCTCCAAGAACCTGCCCTGCGAGACGGGCCTGGTCGAGGTGACCAAACTGATGCACCAGCTGGGCATCAACATGGCCACCATCGAGGCGGAGATGGACAGCTTCGCGGCCATCGCGCGCAAGACGGACGGCCTGATCCGTCTGACCGAGTTCGCTGCCTACCTGGGCTTCCCCAGCTCCGAGCCCGGCCTCGTGGAGCTCTTCAACCTCTACGACAGGGTGAGGTGATGGGAGAAAGACAGGGTAAGACGCGGGAGCAGTTCCGGTGAGCTCTCTAACCTCTACGACAGGGAGAGATGGGGGAGAAAATGACGAGAGGGTGAGATGATAGGAAGTCAATGACGACAAGGTGAGACAGTGGAGTAAGGCGACAGGGTGAGGCAGCGGAGAATGACGACAGGGTGAGATGGGAAGAAAGACAACAAGTTGAGACAGGGAGTAGCTCTGGTGAGCTCTTCAACCTCTGCAACAGGGTGAGATAGGAAGGAAGACGACATGGTGAGACAGGGGAGTAAGGCGACAGGGTGAGACGGGGAATAGCTTCGGTGAGCTGTTTAACCTCTGCAGCAGGGTGAGATAGGAAGGAAGACGACAGGGTGAGACGCGAGAGAAAGACGACAGGGTGAGATGGGAAGAAAGACTACAAGGTGAGACGGGGAATAGCTCCGGTGAGCTATTCAGTCTTAACGACCAGAGTGAGACAGGGGAAGAAGACTGTAGGTTGAGGTAGAGTGATAGAGTTCTGTTCAGCCTCTGCGAAAGGGGGATACGTGGAGACAACTGGAGTGTGGGAAGCGGTAATTCATGAAGCACACAATGAGGTTGTTTGCAGCATAGGTTTCATTCGAGTTTAGTGCCGGAACTTAAGCAGCTAGAATGCATTCTAATAAGACACTATGACTAACTTTTAGCTGGTGGAAAGGTGTGTCGGTGAACCCGAGTCTCGGCACCTGGTAGTCCCTGCCAAGTCCCGACGGTCCACTGTAGTCTGCTGGGATTATCTAACGGGAAAATACCACCGTTTTCCGCACTGTTTCTGATGATATCATCAGCTCTTCAAACAAACCTCTTGACCTGGAGGCTTGAATTCGAACGATAACATACCCGTGGTCTATCGCTTGGAAGCACTATCGGAACGTTCGCGATCTTGATATCCTCCCTCCCGCTCGCTCGCTCGGTTAGCTGCGATAACACCCCCCCCCCCCCGCTGTTCGGTCAGGATCGGGACGGGGTGATTGATTTTCGTGAGTACCTGATGGGCGTCAGCCTCATCTCGCGGCCCGTCAACACTGAGGAAACGATAGCGCTGGCCTTCCGGCTGTTCGACGCCGGCGGCAAGGGTCACGTGACGCAGCGTGACGTCACCAAGGCGCTGGCCACCACGCTCAACATGACCGACCAGGAGAGCAGCCGACTCTTCAGCCAGGTGGAGAAGGCCAACGCTGACTACATCACCTTCGGTGAGTGGGCGGGTGGGGGGGGGGGGGGGGGGGGGGAGGTGGGAAGAAGGAAATGATTACGTTCCGATGGGTCGGAATGGCTAGGATTGGTGTTGTTCAGCTTTTTACCAGCTTCTCCAGGATTCGGCTTTCTTGTTAGCTATGTAAATGCTTCCATTACCCGTTAATCAATTCATCTTATAAGTATGCGCCTTTTGGGGGCTACGCACGAACCGAGCATAATATTGAGCTTTGCATTTTGGTGAGTGCGAAGCGAAATTCCGAGCTGAATTGTGTTAGTCCTGCTATTCAATATGCCTAACGGATATCAAATTTGAGCGAAATTGACCCAGCCTTTCGTGGAATGCAGAAACGGTCCCTGTCCGTATAGCACGTTCAAAGTGAGACCCCAGCTAGCTCGTGCAGGCCACACTCATAACTGGTCCCTAAGTAGCCGCGTACCAGCATTGAGCGCGTTCGGCCCACACGTTATTGATGTGTTGAAATGGCCCATAGACCTTGGCAAGTGCAGCTACAGTACTCCAGCTGTAATGCATATAACTGCAACACCACCCGGTAGGCGCCCGCCGATGAGCAAAGTTTCTGCGCAATCAGCCGAGCCGTTACTGAGTATGTAGGCCGAACAATTTAGACACTTTTATTGGGCACCTGACACCTGCCGTTGTCTACCCTATGATTGAGTGTATCGTTCTTGTCATTCATCGTGAGTGCCGCTCGCTGCATTTTTAGATATGGCTGCTTCTGCTCCTCTGTGTCGTTTGCGAGAACCAAGCTTATCAAGTTATGCGTGTTGCCATGGTCAATATCATTGGTCAAATCATTGTGGCATTAGTTCGAGCCACGATACGTACGGTGGCGCTAGTATCGCTCTGCGGGAACTGATTTTAAACAATGTGATAGCCCGCCTATGCTAGGTCATAATTAATTCATCAATCAACCTCCTGCTGCCTTTTTCAGAGGAATTCCGCGCGCATGCGCAGAAGAAGCCGGAGTACGCCAAGATCTTCATGGCGTGGCACGGTCGCCAGAAGGACTCTCAGGGAAAGGCCAAGGCCCAGTAGCGGCGGCGACCGCTCGAGGAGACAATCTCGCCCGGCACGGCGGGCCGAGCGGCGCGTGCAGCGGCCGGCCCCGTCAGCTTCAAACCGGCGGCCACGTCCGTCCGCCCGAGCAGGTCCGGTCTGCCGGGGCGCTCCCGTGTCTCGCGTTGTTTTAGATTTCGTCCGTGTGTGACGGCCGGGGAGAAGGGTTTGAAATTATTGAGAAAAGATCTGGTGGGGCCGGGGGCGCTGCGCTCGGGTCCGCCCGGTGCCACCGCCCGGCGTCCACCGTCACCGATTCCTGTGTCTCAGGAAGGCGGAGTCGTCTCAGCAGCTTTGTGCCGCCGGCAGTCTGGGTGCGGTCCGCAGCGTCGCGCGCTGCCGGCCCCCGGACGCTCCCCGCTTACCGCATCCACACTTCACAGTTGCCTGGCCAACAAGGGTGCCATGGGCTCGGGGCCGCGTGCCTCGATGAGGCGGGCGTGAGCTCCGGTGCCCGTTTTAGCATGAGATTAGGTGGGTGCAGCTCCGTGTTTGTGTGCGTGTATGTAGCTGCAGCTACAGGATATCTCCCCAACCCGTCGCACCCCGAGTGCGTGGCCCCGCGACTGGCCAGCTGGCTGGCTAGTCGAATGGTCGGAGGCTCCCGCGCCAGTGATTTCACGATCTGCCACGTTATTTATTGACCTCAGACCAGCAGTGACCGCCCCCGCTGTGCGTGTTTGTGTTTTAAGTGGCGTCCGGCAGCCGCGGCTCGTCCTAGTCCGCCGCAGCCTGTCAACGCGCGCAGCATCTATCCATAGTGACCTAAACCAGTACTTAATAGGTGGCGCCGGCGGCGGTGGCTGACAGTCACTCTCAGCCGCCGTCGTGGCCGGCAGGAGTATCTCAGAGGCGCGGCGTCGTCCGCGCCGCATAATTGAGTGAGTGGTGTCGTCGGTGGGGCTGTTCTCTTAATGTTGCCAATTTGCAATACACGTGCATTATGGTACCGATCAGAGCGTGTTTCGTGCTTCGCGATGGGGGGGGGGATAGGGTAGCCGCGAACTCTAGTGTACCGTACTCCAGGCACTGGTGAAATCCGCAAGTTCTTGAGCATCTGAAATGCAGGGATCGTTGTGGCGTTCAATGCACGCAAATGCCGTCCATCCGTCCTTTCGGCTTTATTTGCCAGCCATTCGATTGCTGTCTCTCAATCGGCAACGTTTGAGAAGACTACTAGAAGCAGAACACTGCAGAATATAAGTGTAAACGAATACGCTTACAAGTACTGACCGAAGTTACCATTTTTTTTCGTGGCACTGCAATATGTGCTGGAGAAGAGAAGACTACAACTTTGGTCGCCTCACGCTCGCCAGAGACTCGGAAGTCGGACCGGACTGAGCTACTTCATTTCGGTCGCAGTCGGCGGTCGATTGTATACCACTCAGCCTTTCCCAGGGATATCTCGAAAATGGCATCGCAATTGCAGTCGTAGCATTTCTTAAACTCAATATTTCGGTGCAAGTAAATATTTGATTTTTGTACTGATTAGCTCGTTCCGTGTAGGAATCACGCCCCACGTCACGTTATAAATTATATTTTGATTGATTCGAAATCAAGTGGTGTATAAGAATTTTAACCCGCGCCGTGCTGGTGGCGTGAATTTGCGTTTCGTGCTGGGGGGGTGGGGGGGGGGGAGCGGGCGTTTTCACGCCCGCCCTCCTCCCCTCTAACTCGGCTCCTGGACCACGTAGCGACACGGGGTAAGCGGCAATCGAAAGAGCGTCAAAAATAATGGCGGAAAAACTTCGGTCATTTTTAACCCTCGCCGGCACAGGCCATTTTGCGTCCTTCGACGGCACAAGGGGGGGGGGTGGTACGACCCCCCCCCCTCGCGTTTGGCCCCTGATCGAGCTAGAGCTTCGCGGAAAAAAACGAGCGTGTTGCCCGTCACGAGAGGAAGCCGATGATACCCAATTTTAAGGTCCTAGGTCATCTGGTGACCTTCCAGGTCAGGTCAATGACCCGAAAACCGGGAAAATCGGGACCTGTTAGAAAGTCGTAAAGTGTGGCTGCTATGTGGTTTTCCGGGGTGCTGATCACGAATATCGTGTTAGTTTTGATCAGAGATGATGTTTTTAAGCATTTAGACCAGGTCGGGTCAGTTCAGGTCAGGTCAACCGGTAGGGGTTGTGACGGGTATTCGTAATACGTGTCAACCGCCTCTGACAGCTTCGTAACATGTTACGAAGGTACAAAAACTACTTCGTAAATGTTCAAATGGTTGCTAAATTCGAATTCAGCTTCAAAAACTAGCCTAGAAACATGTAAAACACGAAAAAGTGAACCGAGGTCACCCGAGGTCACCAAAGGTCAATGACCTGACCTGACCTTCAGGTGACCTTGACACCCACCCTAATGTATGGGAGCAACATCAAATCACATGTTTGAACGTTTGAAACCACGAAAAGCTTGCAAACGCGCGGCTAATGCCAGCCGACTTACGCCGAATCGCGACCTCGGCCAAACATGGTCACGGAAAAGAGGTCACAGGTCAAAGGTCATTGGGGTCAGGGTCATGAAATTTTCAGGGAACGTGTAAAATTGATCAATGCGAGGGTACTGAAAGTTTCGTCGCGATCAGCCGCTTGTTACGCGAGTTATTCGCGAAAAACCTTAGGGGGGTTGCATCAATCCCCCCCCCCTGTGCCGGCGAGGGTTAAGGTCAGCTCAAAGGTCAGGTCACCAGAGGTCACCAATAGAGCTACGGCGCCGCGGAAAAGCGCATTCTCTAGCCCTTTTACAGACCGTTCTGGTAATTGTTCTCAGATTTGACCTGAGGTCAACGGTTTAGCCTCCAGAGGGCAAAAACTATCAAAAAAAGTTTTTTACAAAAAAAATGTTTTTCGGCAATAACATTTGAGTTAAGAGAGCCACGACACTACTTTTGCCAGCATCGTGTTCCTCTCGTCGGGACGCGTCGAATGAACTTTTTGTTGACCTCGAAAGGTCATTTTGAAAATTTGACCTCAGGTCAAGGTCAGGACCAGACCGGGAAGGATCATGCTGCATATCAGTCGATCCGTATCGTCGAGTTGAACACATCTGACGTGTTTTCACCGCTCTAGCACGTCTCTATCAAAAGTTAGGTGATAGTAAAAAACTGCTGGTGATCTTTCATGACCTGAGAAGACCGCAGGGGCACACAGAGGGGTCACAGGCGAATTTTTCCGACTCAGTGTGTCACGTTTACCCATGAACCGATGTTTGAGGAGGCTTAGAACGACATTCGACTAAAAGAGGTGCATTTTAATTTTCTACCATTGACTCCTAATGGAGAGGTCGCAAAGTTGACCTGACCTTAGGTCACAGAAATAAAAGATCCGAGATGTACATTTTATATATACTGTTACTTTCATCAATCGCTAAAAGTTTCAAAGTTATCGTTCAGTCGGTGTAGCTATAGCGAGCCTTTGAACTTTTTCTGAGGTTAGGTCACTTGACGTGACCTGGTGACCTGACCTTGAACGACCCAGGTCTGAAATTTTTCACAGCATACCTAAGCGGAAAAGATGTCAATGAACACCTGTGTACTAAAAACAGCGGCTCCGCGCCGCCGTTTATGAGATATTCGCGGAAAACCTTAGGGGAGGGCGTGAAAACGCCCCCTTCCCCCCCCCCCAGGCGCCCCAGCACTGCGCGGGTAATTATCTCAGGTGCCTGAATACTGAATACCTATTCGGTGAATCGGTTTGCAATTTTGGGTCCGAAAAACCGAAACGACTCAAAGATTCATACGTATCGCTGTAAATGCCGGTTACTGCGGTACGAGATGAGAATGAATTTGGTCGTGTAACTAACTTATCTCCACGTAGAATCATGAAAACCAATGTCTCTCCATTCCCACATCAGTGCGCCCGCCGCGCCGGTCTGTAGGGTCTGGGTAGTTCTAAATTGATCCGCGGGGCGGCGCTGCCCGCGGGGCGGCGCTGCGGTCGCCTGCCTGGCTCTCCAGCCATCCGATCCGACGAAGCCCATCAGTGAGGTCGTCGCCACCGCAGTCGAAGCGGCGGACCGGACCAGCGCGAGTGGGTGTGAGGGGCTCGGAGTGACGGTGCCAGGAAAAGGACCACGGGTATTCGCACACCAGCTCAAATCAAAGCTGAGCTGCGTGACGAGGTAGGGAGTGCAGCGGGAGGTCGATCCTCCGATCGGGGAGCCTGAGGAAGGAGTTCGTCTGCAACTCTGTAAGACACCCCACCAGCCCCTCGCTGCTTTCCAAGCCCGTGCGGTTGTCTGGTAGGCCCGTGGGGTTGTCTGGCCCAGTCCTCGTGACTGTCTGACCTCCCGTGGGACTGCCCGGACCGGCCGAGGACCAGCCCCGCCGTGGACGGCAGGCGTTCCGCAGTAGCTGCAGGATGACGTCACGTGCACGATTGCTGGCGCTGGCGTGTCTTCTGCTGGCCGCGTCGAGAGTCGGTAAGTACTAGTCACGTCGCCCAAACGTTCCTATATCCGCGTGTATTGCAGAAATTATGTACAGGTTTGCTGCAAGTTCATTTGATCGTTTTATTCCGAATTGAACTGCAAACAATTCTACTGATAAATGAAGTAGGTACTAGGTAGCCAAACCAGTGTGCCGCTCTAAATCAGATACGAAGCATTGAATACAAAAAATGCACCCACTATCGACTCGTTTATCAGTCTACGACATCAGGTCACCAACGCTTGTCATCAATAATCCCAATCAAATCGACTTAGCGAGTCAATGACCTGACACCCGAGCTGACTTGTTCAAAACAAAAGGTAGGCCTTGACATTCATTTCGCACAGCTTGATATGACAAACGAAGTGGTATCCAGTAAGAAGCTGCAACATAGAATATGTAGGCGTTAATATGAGTTCCACCGTTTTCAACGCCCCACGGGATTTCCGCTCCTTAGTCTATCTTCGGCTGCAGCCTCGAATCCCAAGAGTATTGCATGACAGGGCGGGTGCACCCTGGGGCTATTTAGTTACACAACGAACTGTGTTAACTGTTAATGCCGCAGTGGTGTCAAGATCATCTGGGTGTGCTGGGGACTATAGGAATATCGAGTCGGTGGACCAGAACTAACGACCGACACAGGCAGATAACGATCGTATCACATGCACCTCAAAGTTGCCTTATTTATCGCACTTCCATGGCGTGCATTATCTCGTTACGTCTATTGTGGACATGGTGAGCCCCATGGGCGATGAAAGAAAGTAGAAACAATTTAGTCAAATATAATTTATCAAAGGTATAGCCTGACTGTAGCTCATTCGGTCAGATGGGATGGAGATGAGAAGATCTGTATACGTACAAAAGTCATCTTTTTTAATTTAATGGTAACAGCTCTAGTCCCTTCGATAGTTACCTAAAGATCAATAAATACGAAAGACAATAGGAACAGCAATTTCGCACCGAGCATACCTAATTTCGTAAAACGACCTTCGATGCTTTTTCCGTCATTGCGTGAACGACAGCATTTTTCCCATACATGCAACATTGCACGTTTAAATCGAGAAAGCCAGGCATTAAAATGGCACGTGCATTATACTGCACTTTTGAAACATACGAGAAGTCAATGCTGATTGGTTTCCGAGACATGCAGGAAAATATGTTTTCCTGCACCTTTCGACGTTTTCCTGCACCCCTCAACGTTTTCCTGCACCTCTCAAATATATGACGTCATTATGAATGGCGTCACATCATAAAGTTGAAGAACATCATTTTGCTCCTTACAACTTCATTTTATCTATCGTCCATTTTATTTGATTGGCTTATGATACCTATACCTACTTTGTGTTTGATGCAAGGATTTTATTATTTGTCATGAATAAAGTGAAACATCACCATATAAAACTTAAACTTTGACGCTATTTCGCAACATACCATAGCCACGAAAGACTCAACAAGATTGGAATTGGAGCGCTTTGGTTCCTCCATAACATTTGCAACGCTCCCTACACTGAAAACAAATCGACACAGTGAGGGCATGTTCTGTACTGGTAACACATCAGTCATGTGTTAATCGCACCCAAAACACAATAAGGCTGAGTATTTTCACGCTTGGCGGGACCTTCGACACGTTTGATAACACATAAAACAGAATAATGACACAATTTTATCGTGCCAAGCACGCTGGACGAATGTAATGCATCAGTGTATCGAAATCATGTGTTGTCGGATATGGTAGACGTGTACCCTTGCACAAATACATCGTGCCATCCACCAGTGAGCGACCTCTGAACCTTAACTTCAAATGGGGATAAGAGAGGGCGTTTTTCGAGCACCGACTTTTATGCTGGGTTTTTGTAAAAATTTGCCAAAGTGTTTTGAGAAAGGTCAAAATGCACAATACAGCCGAGGGAGTCGATACATGATAAATTGTCTAGAGCAATATGCGCTGATTACATCAAGTGCAAGCTGAAGCATAGCTAATTAACGTCTGCTTGGAGGAAGAAACTCCTCCGTCTATATAGGATATATTTGAAAAATCGGTGGCCGTAAGTTTATCCCGGCTGTCTGGACAACTGTATTGAACAGTAGTCCTCCAATTTGGGGCTTCGTCACTTGGCGCTCTGATTGGGCCGTCCACGTGACGCGTTCACCCTTCGGCTCTGAAGTGGTCGACCGGGCGCAACTTCAGATCGCGTATGGGTCGGCGGCCTCGTATGGGTCGGCCGCCCGCGTGCTCAGCCTTGACCGCGCCCTAACCGTATGGGTCGGCCGGCCGGGTACTCAGCCCTGACCGCACCCGAGCGCCCGATTCCACTCGGGGCCCGGCTTTGGCAGTCAGCCTGTCCAGCCAAAGCCATAGTCCGTTCAACTGCGCCCCGGCAACAAACTACATAATCACCACGTGTTTCCTTCTTTTACTTGCGATTAGTGTTAAATTTAGTAACATATTTACCTTGTATTCTGCAAATGTATTCACACAAGCCTTATGTGTTGAAGACACAATGATATTGTGTTTTAGGACACAACACGACTGGGTTAACACATTTGTAAATTGACACGTCTGCGACGGGTCAAAAAATGCATGATGCAGGGTACCCAAGAAAGCCTAGTTAACACGCTCTGCCTGTGCGTTTTTAGTCGTTTTTTGTGTCATTTTGTTTTCAGTGTATAATGGTACGCATCAAGGCTATAGTACGCATGTATGGGAAATAGCTTCCTGCCCTGAGCTGGGAAAATTTAATAATGTCACCTCGTATTTTAATCGAAAGTACCTCGGGCCTACCGGCCCTCGGTACTTTCAATTAAAAAACTCGATGACACTATTAAATTTTCCCAGCCCCGAGCAGGAATGTATTATCTTGCATGGATAAGTCGCAAGATGCTAATCACGGAAAGACAACTGCCCAAAGACAGAAGGCCGTCAGCACTGATGGTTGCCATGACAACCGTGTGCGTCAGCTGGCCGTATCCGGACGCGGCGGAGCGCATCGCTTCCGGTATGCCGACCCAGAGTAGTCGGCCGGCGCATTTTTCCCACGGTCACGGCGACCAGCTGGTGCTTATAGCGGTGCTTTCTGACAATGCCATTAGTGATCACAGTGATCAGTGATCACATCGTAGATCCGTTGACCATTGCTTACCATGGACTGCACTCCTACCCGCTACCAATGTAAAGATGCAACTCGCATAATAAGACTGTAAAGTGAATGACTTGACTGTTTTCTCGCTCGGGGAAATGAAGTTAACGGGAAGATAAGCCTAACGTTTATTTAAATGTTAGTTAAACGAGACAGCGTGAAGTCAATCCATACCCCTTATGGTCTGATCCGAAATGCGATAGTTAGTACTTTATGCGACCTTCACCTCGTTTAAATGTATTTTATGTCTCGCTCGACTTGTTTAAGCACGAGTTTATAAATGAACGAGTGAAACGAGTTCATTTATAAACGAGTGCTTAAACAAGTCGAGCGTGACATAACATACATTTCAACGAGGAAAGGTCGCATAAAAGATATTTAAATGATTTTTCCCGCCGATACGTCAATAAAGTCTTACTATCTTTGAAAAATAGTTGTGCAGGTGCAGCGGATCGGTACAAAAGGAAGAATAACATTGTTAGTAAATGAAAAACAAAGAACTTATAATGTAAGACAAAAACCATACAATTTTCCATCCTCTTCCTTCCCCTCACACTTGGGGAAAATGTGGGAAATTATGGGTGGGGGGACATTTATACACATGTGCTGAATAGGAGCCGCAATTCCATCAGCATATAACCATCCATTTCTGTGTGCTCCTTGTGTCAAGTACGAATACAAACACGGTCAAATACTTGACTTATCACAGAGGACTCGTCATAGGACTCGGATATGGTGGTAATTTTATAGTCAATGATTATATTCGTGTCACCCGACTGTTGTAGGACACTGTCCAGTGTCCATTGTTCCTTGGTCGGCATTTTGCTCTAAACGAAGCAGCTGTCCTTAATTTATTTGAGAAGATATATGGTTTGCGGATGCATTTGTCACCGACTTCCTCATACCAGGGAGCATACCTAAGGCACGGTACAAAATATTATCAGAGTTTTGGAGCGTGCCTGCTAAAATACGCAATTGGTAGGGCTGTTTAAATCCCATCACCGGCAGAACTGGTCATTTCGTCAATATGTTTAAAAAAAACTTTCTATTGATCGATGTGCACGATTTTCTTGTGATACCTATCAGCAAAGACATCCAATATCCATTTAAGTCAGTGGTCTATAAAGGTGATATAAAACAATACCATTACCTATACAATATACAGCTATGATAACGTCATATCTGAATCTATACCAGGGGTCAATAAACCCAAAGTCGTTTAAATAATATTTATGCACTAGTGCATAAATATTCAACATTGCTTCAGCATTGCATGACCTTATTTATCATCTGGCGCCTCCGATTTCAAAGGATTTTCTTCAACATTGTCGAGGCGGGAGAAGTCATTTAAATACATATTTAGGGACAATTAATAATACTTTGAGATAGGCACTCGTACCGTAATCTTGCTCGTGCCTATGTCCGGTGGATGTTAATGTCAAACATGGTGTCCCGACTGCTGGTAGGTGTGTACGTGTCTTTCACATGATTAGCGTGTCTTGCTACGCGAACATCAAGCTATAACATACGAGTATCCCTAAATGCATTTAACATTTGTCATCCGCTCATTGTCAAATGTCAGTTAAAGTTGACAAACTTCCTTAGCATCAGCAACTCTAAAAAAATTATAGGCGCGTTATAAAGCACAAACACACAATGCGCTGTTGAATCACAGCTCAATCAAACAAAAACCAAAGTGGTGCGTGTTACGGCCAACACCGACGATCACTAGGGCTTTGTCGGTCCAGTATCTGGATGAAAGTATGCGTTTATAACGCGGGCGAGAGTGTAGCGGCCATCGCCGCACCTTCCGCGCGGGGCGGACGTCCCACCCATCGGCGCGGCTATACCTAATAGTCGGGCTTTCACCGGTATGAATATGAAACGATAACGAAAACGGCCGGGCGCTTCCCACACAGACCAGCGATGTCCACTGTCCACTGCCCAGCGTATGTACGCGACGAGCGACTCTCGCGAATCCATTGCACGACGGTATTACTGCAGTGATTGTTCGCAGCGTCCGCGAAGTTTCCTTCCGCTGCTTGTCTAAGGGGGACTAACCTGCCTGCTGTTGTTTGTACTCTAATGACATTTAATGGCAGTGCAGCTAATGGACCATGCAGTGCCCGGGTTTCTCCCGAAGATGAGATGATTCCATCCGGAAGCTGTAACAAAGCATTCAAATTGAGCCTTGCGTTTGACGGGGTTATGCAGAATGTGATTAAGTAGATTTCAAGTAAAGTATGTTTAGGCAATGTGTCACTCCCAACAGTTAAAATGACCCTCTTCTCTCTGTTTCTCTCGTTACTCTCTCCTCTCTCTCTCTCTCTCTCTCTCTCTCTCTCTCTCTCTCTCTCTCTCTCTTTCTTTCTTTCTTCCTTCTCTCTGCTCTTACCGTCTCCCACTAAGCAAGCATGAACCACATACATCGGAGCCCTTTTTAGTTATTTTGTAGTCGGGGTCTTCTTTTCATGACGACACGACGACCCGCTCTGGCCCAGCCTAGCGAGCTGTCGTCGGAACAAAGCCGCCCTGCCATTGTGCAGGGTTTGTGGGTCAGTGGGCTATGCGCCTTTCTGCTTCACGACATCGGGCTCTCGAAGCAAATCGCCAAATTGCACGGTGTTCCGGCGACGGTCGGTGTCTGGTCGGGCGGAACAGCCACGGCAGAAGGCGACTCTGCTGAGCATGAGATCACCTCGGCCGACCACTCTCTCCTTTTCTCTTTCTTCTGCTACAAGCAATATTTTTGTCGAGGGACGAGATTCCTCCCTTGTCCCGTAACTCACATGTTTACGGCGTCTACCATGTCAATATTTCCTTGGTAGTGCAGGGACATATATCAATTTCTCCGGTTAGGTCATTGAGCAGCGATGCTTCTCTGTTCTCACTAATGCTTAAGCTCTTTCACATGTAAACTATACGCGTCATTTTATCCATCCCTACCTAAGCGTGACAGAGATTAATTTCCTGAATTTCCCCTTTTTCCGGTCCTGATTGGGCCGGTCCTGAGTTGATTGTTGTCATGGTAACGACCCGTTAAACCGTGGCGTGTCACGTGCCTAGCCATCCGTCCAAACTCGGCCAAGCGATGACCAGCCCTGTCCTGCCGTCTTCGGGCTTTAGTAGGCAGACACGCAGCCCGTGTCGAAAGGTGAACAGCGGCTGAGAGGCTTTTACCCGATACAGGGTTGTAGAGATACGGGATAGAACAATGGCTGTTGGGATCCGGGCTGGAGTGAGATGTTGCGTTGTTAGGAAGTCGTTTGGCAAAGTGCAGCACTTGGCCATGGAATTGCGTGCAGGTGGTCCATTTTCTACTGTAGGTTTTTTGCTGAGTTTATGCCTGTTTCCTGTAACAGTTACGAAGTTTTGCTATAGGAATAGTTGAGCATACGCCTCCGTGCGGCTTCTCCAAAACGCTTTTTAAACTTGCAATAAGGCATCACATTGACATCTCAGTTCCCATGCTTTCATAGTTGCTCATGCATTTAAACTGTGCCGCGCCGTCTCGGCTGCACGATTGTGTGGTGACAGGCCCGCTCAATATTGGGCGGCAGCTCCCACGCTCATCTGGTGTCGCTATCTCTGGCCGTGCAGCGGCACGCTCCCCTCCCTGGTCTCCTGTGGGACCGCAGTCGCGCCCCGTCCCTGAACGCCTCACTGACCGCTGCTCATACCGCTCCTCTCAGCACCACACAACTCAGCGGTGCGCCCGGGGGCTCTCGCCGTTTCACATCTGATTTGTTTCTGCGAGCTCGTGCTCCAATCAGCTATGCTCCACCGCTCCGGCTCAATGTCTGCCCTGTCTGATTCCCCGATCAGTCACTTTCTCGTGCTGTTGTCACCGCGGATGGAGCGTTGCAAACACCGTTTGTGGCCTGCTTTTACCGTACCTCACTCAGAATGCGTCGGGTGTTACCGGCGTCGAATACGTTTTCCATTTCATCAATAACTCGTCGAGGAAGCGAAACCAATATTGTAATGTGGAAGGTGGCACGTTTCACACTTGCTGGATTGGGTAGTTTCTCTACATCGTACATAATATCATCGTGTACAGTGTCCGATACAATTCGTCAATTTATGCAATAACTCCGGACAGATATGACTGATCTCATTTTTTTCTCCGCATCACTGCAATGAGTTCGTTGAGGATGCATTATTCTGAATTATTTGAGCTGAACTCAGTACAATAGCTTTTCGGGGATACATTGAGAAAGGAATACCTATATTGTATAAAAGAGTACCTCAGTGTAGCTCGAAACAAGAAAACAATAATTCATGCAATGTTGCATCGGTTAGGTACACAATATTTTGACATGTGTTTCCGCGTATCCCATCTCGTGTGTCCATTCCCGTGAGCCCCAGCCTGCTCCGTGACCTGACGGTCGTCTCCCGTTGGCAGCGGCCGGCTGCGGCTTCCCCGGCTCGCCGGCGCACAGTTCGGTCACCTTCTCCACTGCAGTGGTGGAGGCCGGCACCACGGCCACTTACAGCTGTGACCGCGGCTTCGAGTTGCTGGGACCGGCGCGGCGCGTCTGCCAGGCTAACGGCACCTGGACGCCGGCAGGGATACCCTTCTGCGGTGAGTGGTGATCGGCCAGGGAGGGGCGCATGGGGCGCGGTGAATAGTGTGAACTGTGAAGGATCTATGGGTAAGTAGGAGATAAGCAAGTAGCTATTAAAGGAAGGATCAATATAAAAACTCGATCCAAGCACGATAAGGGATAGAAAGCTCGACAGATGCAGAGAGAAAACGTTACCAACTTATGCATATTTTTAACATAATCATTTTAAAATACTTTGTGATTAACAATGCTTACATTATAATTATATTGTTATATTATGTTCAGCATTGTTGCACATTGCAATGAGTATGATCTCGTTAGCACCACCTATTCAGGTAGTTCAGATATAAACTAGCTTACGCGGCATCCATTGAACCTCTCCACTCTCGAGAAAACCCACAACGCATTCTGCCGGCTCAGACGACCTTCTTTACACTTAAGTAGGTAGGTATCAATGCTCTAAGACTAGCAGCCGGCTCCGTGGGTGTGGCCGATCACTCGCCGGTACAGTGTAATCAGACTAGAGCACCGCCCAGCCGTCACAGCGCCGTCCAGCTGCCGCGTCACGGCGCTCCGGGGCGTGACACGTGGCGGACACAGCCGTCACGGTCACGGCGCCGGGCCGGCGGAGAGCGAGAGTCGCTCCGAGCACTCTGCCGAGTCGTCCGCGGCCGGCCGGGTGGACCGACAACCCTGTCGTGAGGCGATGTCCAGCTCGAGTTGGAGCGGTTTCTAAACCGTCGCTTTCGAGTCCAAGTGTGAACTGCGAGCGGCTGGGCGGAGCGGGACACTTTCTCAGCCGACTGGGCGACCGCCAGTAGGTTTGGGCCGGGGACTTTCGGTGGCTTTGTGGTCAGAATGTGTGAGCCGGAGACCAAAGTGGCCAAAAGATAAGGTGAAGTTATGCCGCGGCTGGATAGGCTATATGTTACGGATGGTTAGTCTGTAAATTGGGGCCAGCCCATAGCAGTGTCATAACCTAATGATATGTGGTTATGCAAGCCACTCAAGCCTGTCATTGATTTTCATATTCATCTCACCTAGCAAGTCACATGACTGACTGTAGGTGCTTGGGTGAATGACATGTGCATTTTGCAATGTGCAATTACAATACACACCATTGTCATGGGTCCCAAGGAAAAGACAGATTCCTGAATCATGACAGCAGCGTCGAAAAGCGGGATCGACACATAACACCACAACATGAGATATCCATGCTAGAATGCTAGAATCTAATGTGAGGAGGCTCTTCATGCTTCTAAAAATCTATTGGAATTTGGAAAGCATCCTAAATAGGGCTTTTATTGCTTTTAACAATTGATGTTTCATGGGAATGCGGGTAGTGACTAATATTCTGGAAAGATTACCACACCCCGCTATGGTTATGCAGCAGCACAACTCTCGGATTTTTCTCGGACGTCTCGGAATTTTCGGAGAAGATACCTACTGTTGCCGTGAGAAATCGACCACTAGCGTTTTTTGATGAATGAAGACTGATGAACACGTCTGCCTATTACTCTGATGGATGTCGATCTTAGATAAGACGGGTTGGCTGTCGCCGCCGGACGGGAAATCCAAAGGTGGATGTAACGTCTTAATTGGTTGTTCTCGTCTGGATCTGTCTTCGAAGAAACTCGATCGAATCGTGCTCTGCTGGCTCATACAGGCATCATATTTCTAGATATGAATCGGTCTATAGAGAAACCATAGTTGAATATTTATATAAGTAATGATGGCAGTTCTCCAATGTTCATATTTAGTCGATTAGAAGCGATGACATAATCAAATGGATACCAAACCCAAAACACTGCGAAACTCGTAGGCGTTTATTATGTATATTAGGCCCCGTCATATTTTATAAAGTTTTTGGAAGACCAGCTACCCTGGTGTTTTCCCATTGCCTGTTGGCCCAATAAGAAGTGTGCAAAATTTCAGCTTCTTAGCTCAACGTTTGCGTCTGCCTCAACGGCCTCGAGGTTTGCCTCATAGGGCATAATGGAGACTGCAATACCGGTGTTAGCTGCATTCTCCCGGCAGCGGCGTTCCTTGGCACAATATCGCCACGGATCAACTGCTGCCCCAGCAAGAGATGAACAAAACTAATCTTTGCCTTCACCCCCCCCCCCCACACACACACCCCTCCCCTCCTTACCCCCCCCCCCCCGCCCCAATTTTTTAGCATCGTTTGATTTTCACGCATTGTTCACGATCACTTTCTGTTTTTTTTTTTCTGAATGCCTCAATGCTGATTGAGACAAATATCACGTAGGTTTAAGATAGTAGTTAGTACCTATCTTAAACATGCATTTACCTATCTTAAACATGCATGTGCATATATTAATATCGACTCAATACTGCGGCGACGGCGAACTGATAACTACGAACGACAGCAGCAGCCAGAGACCAAGACGGCGGGCACGGCACTGGTGACGGTGACGGGCACCGGTGTCACTTACTATGGTCCAGCCTGCGTGTCCGGTGTCGTGGCCTACCTACAGCACGAAGGTTTTCTTGCGCGGCTTTTTGGAAAACTCTGCAGTGCGGTCTGGGAGTGAACTCCGCAGTTTTCAAAATTCAAGTCATTTCTTTCCATGCAGCTACATTATATTGAGGGCACCTTCAAGGCCCAAAGGGGCGCCCCAAATTTAAAGGTACAGGACAATGGACTTGAATTGAATGCCCGCGTATGCTGGATACGGCTCTGCTCTGGAGGCTGAGGGGCGCCAGGTTTTTTTCTTCAATTGGGCGCCCAATCACCTGTGATCTTCAATGGGGCGCCTGTTTGCTTTCCAGATTCGTCCGTGGCGTTGACAAGTGTGCCAAGTGCCCTGCCCCCCGGAATGGGCGTCATCGTTCAGAGGGGCGCCGGATGTTCTTGAGGGGTGACAGTAATATTAAATGGGGGCGCCGGATGTTCTGGAGCGGCGTCAGTGATATTTAATGGTGCGCCGGATGCTCTGAGATGGACGCCAGCGATAATGAATCAATGATTCCCACTCACCCGTGATCTTCAATGGGTCGCCTGATACGTTTTAGAGACACGTCGGTGGTGTTAAATGGCGTACAAGTGATCAAGAGGGGGCAACGTTTTTTTCGGAAGGGGCACATCATATACTCTGAATGGTGCGCACATAATACTGACGGGGACGATGTCGGGATCTGAAAGGGCACCTCAGGGATTTATGTTAAGTAGGTATGCAATCCACTACCATGTTGCTTGCGTCAGAGATTTGTGTGGGGCGCAGGTGCACGGGTCGTGGGTATTGATAGTGCTAAAGCGCGCCCTACATATAGCGTTATCAGGGCGCTCGGCACACTAGCCAATACCACGGACGCATCTGCAAAGCGTAACAGGCGCCCCTTTGAAGATCACAGGCGATTGGGCGCCCAATTGAAGAAAAAACCTGGCGCCCCTCAGCCTCCAGAGCAGAGCCGTATCCAGCATACGCGGGCATTCAATTCAAGTCCATTGTCCTGTACCTTTAAATTTGGGGCGCCCCTTTGGGCCCTGAAGGCGCCCTCATATAATGTAGCCATGCATGGAAAGAAATGACTTGAATTTTGAAAACTGCGGAGTTCACTCCCAGACCGCACTGCAGGAGTTTTTCAAAAAGCCGCGCAAGAAAACCTTCGTGCTGTAGGTAGGCCACGACACCGGACACGCAGGCTGGACCATAGTAAGTGACACCGGTGCCCGTCACCGTCACCAGTGCCGTGCCCGCCGTCTTGGTCTCTGGCTGCTGCTGTCGTTCCTAGTTATCAGTTTGCCGTCGCCGCAGTATTGAGTCGATATTAATATATGCACATGCATGTTTAAGATAGGTACATGCATGTTTAAGATAGGTAATATCCATAGGCGGCGGAACGGGGAGGGCACCGGGGCATCGTGCCCCCCTTTGATTTTGGCATTTTAACATTAGCTCTATCGGCGTTGCATAGAAAGAATGGGACCAAAAGTCGGCAGTGCCCCCTTTAATTGAAGGTGTTCCGCCGCTACTGGTACTATCTTAAACCGACGTGATATTTGTCTCAATCAGCATTTAGGCATTCAGAAAAAAATAGAAAGTGATCGTGAACAATGCGTGAAAATCAAACGATGCACAAAAAATCGGGGCGGGGGGGGGGGGGTAAGGAGGGGGAGGTGTGTGTGTGTGTGTGTGGGGGGGGGGGGGTGAAGGCAAAGATTAGTTTTGTTTATCTCTTGCTGGGGCAGCAGTTGATCCGTGGCGATATTGTGCCAAGGAACGCCGCTGCCGGGAGAATGCAGCTAACACCGGCATTGCAGTCTCCATTATGGCCTATGAGGCAAACTTCGAGGCCGTTGAGGCAGACGCAAACGTTGAGCTAGGAAGCTGAAATTTTGCACACTTCTTATTGGGCCAACAGGCAATGGGAAAACACCAGGGGGGCTGGTCTTCCAAAAACTTTATAAAATATGACGGGGCCTAATGTATATGACCGAGTTATGAACCATGATCCATAATCGCTACCTACAGATGGCCCAAATGCAGGCACTGCAAAAATAACAAAGTGAGCTGGATACTTTTACACTGCAACCATACCTGGGCTCTACTTCTACTATAACACCTCGTCGGGATCCTTCTCGATTCAGCTCGAGTTCCACGGTGCCGACCTCACCGGTGCAGCGTCCAGCTCCTCGCCACCTGACGCCGAGCTGAGTCCCGTGGGACCAGTGTGCTGTTAATAATTACACCCACCGACAGCCGGGGACAGGACGGGCGCGGCGGGCCGCTGTCTGCGGCAGCTGCCAGCCGCTCCCTGTCGTACACCGCTACCCGCGCCGCCGGGGCGCCGCTCCTCGCCGCTCCTCGCCGCTACCGTCACATCTGCGGCCTGCGGTCTCTGCGTGCCGCGTACCGGTCCCCTCCACAGGCGCGCCAGATGTGTGGCGCTTGGGACGTGGCCTCCGACAGCGAATGCCGGCTAATTGCGGCCCGCTGAGGCCGCCAGTCCGTTATCGGACGGGTCGATCGGCAGGCCCGGCTGGCTGGGAGGT